GTAAATCAATTCTTAATTCTGTAAAACATTTAAAGCAATTAACTCATTATTTATATTTTATTGCAGTAAAATTCATGACACAAATTATTGACATCTTTTTCAAAAACATGATTTCTGTTTATCAATAGAAAAGCTCTGAGCGATGTGTTTAAAAATATCACATCTTTAAAATTAGAGCTACATCAAGTCGTCAAAGTTCATCAGAGACACAGAGGAACCAGGACGCTCCAGACTGAACCCAACAAACAGCGGCTCTGAGACGGAGACGCTGACGGAGTGGAGGGGATACCAGTATTTATCATCACCCTCAGAGAAATACAGAACTCCAGCCTCAGAGTCCAGGAAAACACCTACTCTTTGTGAGTAATAGACCTCGTACAGTTCTGTCTTCCTTTTACAATGATAAAAAGACCTCCTGTCTCCTTCCGTCCTCAGACTCCAGGACTGATCATTGTCCCCAAAGCGACACTGGTCCAGGTCTCCTCTGCGTCCGATTCCTCTGTGACTCAGTGCTATAGCTACATCTCCGCTCCACTCCACCTCAAAGTAAGAGCGTCCTGTGAGGGCGGTGGAGCTCAGCAGCTGTGGGCAGGAGCTGAAGCGGTCCTGGTGAGAGGGGTACAGCTGCAGCGCCTCCACTCTGGTCACTGTCCTTCTGTCCTCACTCAGCTGCAGAGTGTTATTGGCCGTGTTTGGATCCAGAGAGACGTCACAGAAGTCTGAGAACACACACACACTGGTGACCTCACTGTCACTTTAACACACCATGCAGCAAAACACACAATATACAACAGATTTTACATTTGGCAACAGTTCAGACACAGGAAACTAAGGAAAATGGATCGTTGGAAATAGTTGTTTTATTGGTTCTTATTCTCTATATTTATTTATTTCAATAGTTTCCAAAACATCACAATCTTTTTTGTTCAAATGCGTCACATTAATGACTTTTGAATGCACTGGAAACGACAGCGAGACCTAAGTAGCTCTGAAACAGTTGTTTTACAATTGTTATTTTTCTCCCAGAGCAGAGAGAATGCACGATCTGAACCAAACAGATCAAGAGTAAATCCACTCAGATCCAAATCCATTCAGAGCAGAGAAAATGGTCCAAACCAAGCAGACTCTGCAGACATCACCCAGAGGAGAGGAAGCAGCTCATCACCAGCAGCTCCTCCACCTCTGCTGCTGCTGCACTTTATTACTATTGTAGTCACTTTTAGAATGATGGATTTATTTGTTTGTTTGGATGGATGTGTTTCTGCTGCTGGACACCTGCATTTCTCCATCAGGGATCAAGAAAGTATTTACCCAAAATCAGACCCCAGATCTGTCTCTGACTAAACACCTCCATGTCCTTCCTGATCCTTTCTTCTCCTTATCATTGATCTGCTCTTGAGGTGGACCATAAGGAGCTGTCGCTCCATCTCAATAGGAGCACTCCCTCTGAGGAACATCTCAATCTCAGACTTTAAACCGTTCCTTCACTAATGAATGTGGATGGTCCTCGTGGACAGACCACCAACATACAGGTCAATGAAGAGAAAAGGCACAGATGGAGGAGGACTAAACATTCTAACTTATGACATCACTTCCTGTTTACTCACACTTCCTTGGACCTGTGACCATCCACCTCTCTCCAGCCGGGTCCAGCCTGTAACACACAGGTCACTCACACATGGAACAAGACTCACAATAAGATCCAAACACAGACTGTGACAAAACTGAGGAATAATGTTGTTTATCTGTCGACTTCAATCTGACCAGAGGAAGGTGCTAAAACTACAGGATGTGTGGCCTTCAGGATTCTCTGGACCAAATGCTTTTGGAGGATTTGTGATTGAACTGCAGAGATGGAGCCTCAAAAAGACTCAATAAACAGATTACAGTTTTTATTTTTTTGTCATGAATCAACAAGTGGGACACAATCGTGAAGTGGAACGAAATTTATTGGATAATTTAAACTTTTTTAACAAATAAAAAACTGAAAAGTGGGGCGTGCAATATTATTCGGCCCCTTTACTTTCAGTGCAGCAAACTCAGTCCAGAAGTTCAGTGAGGATCTTTGAATGATCCAATGTTGTCCTAAATGACTGATGATGATAAATAGAATGCACCTGTGTGTGTTCCTTTGTCTTCATGGTTCTCTCTGTGCTTTAAACAGAACCCTGAGACTATCAAAGAGCAGGTGCATTTATACGGAGACTTGATTACACACAGGTGCATTCTATTTATCATCATCAGTCATTTAGGACAACATTGGATCATTCAAAGATCCTCACTGAACTTCTGGAGTCAGTTTGCTGCACTGAAAGTAAAGGGGCCGAATAATATTGCTCGCCCCACTTTTCAGTTTTTTATTTGTTAAAAAAGTTTAAATTACCCAATAAATTTTGTTCCACTTCACGATTGTGTCCCACTTGTTGATTCATGACAAAAAATTTAAATTTTATATATTTATGTTTGAAGCCTGAAATGTGGCAAAATGTTGAAAGGTTGAATGGGGGGGCGATTACTTTCGCAAGGCACTGTATGTCTGTGATTGTTCAATCATCAACATTTTCTATTGAGCCTCAGTGTTTTCTACAAAAGAACGTCTCCAGTTTAACCTCTTACTGTCGGACAAAACATTTCTTCTTATCATAGTGATCTTTCTCCTGTGATTTATGAACTGATGTGTGATTAATCATACTTATTTAGTGCTTCACAGACATTATTCAGACAGAGGTCTCCCATCACAGTACTATCCAGGCCCTGCCCTGCTTAGCTCCTGAGCTCTGACAGGATCAGGCTTCCACATGGAGGTTGGCTACATACAGACTGTGACGGATCATTCAGTCAAAAACAGATTGTTTATATTTCAGTTCAGCGATAGATGTTTTTGCTCAGAATTGTGTTGAATTCAAATAGTTTCAGTTGAAACACTGTTGTCTTGTTGCCATGGAGATACGCACTAGTTCTTATTCAAAAGAAAGACAGAATGAATGATTGAAGAAATACACAGTGAATACTTGAACAGAGATAGTCTGGGCAGTGTGCTCACCTGAGTGTGTGCAGGGGGTAGTCGGGGTGGTCCCGTACAGCGGTCAGGACCTCTGCTGAGGCTCCTGGATGGTTGTAGCTCAGGTCTAACTCTGTCAGATGAGAGTGGGCGGAGCTTAGAGCAGAGGCCAGAGCAGCTCCGCCCCTCTCAGAGACCACACATCCTGAGAGTCTGTAAACACAAGGACACTTTCCATTCACTCCTCTGTGCACATTCAACAGGAGTCTGGTGATGTAGAAGCAACAGTTGTGAGTGTGAAGGCCCCAAGGGCCTCCGGGCCCCTCAGCTGCAGAGAGGCCCTAGGGCCTCCGGGCCCCTCAGCTGCAGAGAGGCCCCAGGGCCTCCGGGCCCCTCAGCTGCAGAGAGGCCCCAGGGCCTCCGGGCCCCTCAGCTGCAGAGAGGCCCCAGGACGCAGGAAGTCAATCTACAATAGGCTTGTTCCTTCAGAACTGTGCTTCTGCTGCAGTGATGGCGAGAGTCGACATGTCGCAGAGGGCGTAGATAAAAGAGGTGTCAGGGATGAGGCAGACAGAGACGGATCGTGGTGCGCCAAACTCTGGAAGTTTATTTAAAGGAGCAATATGTAAAAATCTGGCCAAAAGTGGTACTGCAGTCACAGTCAATATTTTGTAGTCCTCTCCCACTCTCCCTGACTCAGGTTGCCAGATTCACACCAAATCCAGCAGCAAACACAGGGAATTATTTTATCAGTTGTTTGTCCGTCTCCATTCACATTGCCATGACAGCCGTGCTAATGCTGAATGAATGTTTTGATTAATGTTTTTTTATTATTATTATTTGGACATTTGAGATAAAAAACAAAAACAAAATAAAAGCAATGTAATTATACATAGTTTATGCAAAATAAATAAGCAATTGATGTCCAAAATAGGAGTGGGAAGAATGGATGTTGGAACCTATTTCTTCAGCGTATCAACATCAGGGTTTGCTCAAGAGGATATCACCTTTCAATTTTATTTATTCCCTATTTTTTAGACAAACATGTAAAAGTCCCACATCAAAAAGAGACTAACATTATTTTAATTGGGGTACATGTGGTCTTAAATGATTATTTTTACAATTAAGCTATAATCTGCAAAAAAAATGTCTTGACCTTCATCTTTTACCGTTTTTAGAGTAATCTGTCATAGAATGTGATAACATGCAATAAATACTAAAAGACATAGCCCGGGATCGAACCCGGGTTCCTGCGTCGTAAGCGCACACCTTAGACCACTAGACCACCGATTCACACGAACAGAGAAACTGTGAAGAACGGAGTCAAACTAGAAAATTCTGCATCACACGTGAACTTTTATCAGCTGTCTCAATTGTTCAAAGGCATCCCGATATAAATCCTCGTTTTAGTCTTTGTTTTGTCATTAATGATTTGAGAGTCATAACAAGACCTTTTTTAGTTCTGCGCCACATGTTATTTTACCTCTGAGATTAATGAGCCGCGCGGAGTTCTGGCAACACGATCACGGACTTACATGACACTTCCTGATTGGCGAAACGGCGGAGGGCAGGACATCAAAATCAAAACAATAACAACTTTTACGGGTCGTAAAACTAATTTTGATAATCAAATATCTCGGCTGAACTACTGTTATCAGTTAAAGATGAATTCGAAAAGAGTATGATTTAATAACGCCTTTTGAAATATTCGGGTCATTTAATGATGACTTGACATGCAAATATTACATATTGCTCCTTTAAGTTTCTCTCAAGTTCCAGTGGTTTCCTTTGTTTCTTTCTCTCAGACAGAATGGAGTCAGTACACAGTTTATATAGTCATTGTCACGTCACACATGGAAAGACGTGTCACACAGAGACAGTCACATCATAGTCAAAATAATCAGAGTCCTTGTAGAGTCCTGCACGTAGGCCATATTGCTATCTAATACTAACAGAGGCAGTAAAGACCAGAGTGTGTCTCATGTCCACTCGTCCACTCATGATTCCTTCTCTGTTCCTCTAGTCCAGGGGTACCCAAACGGCGGACCGCGGTGCAGGTTTGGACCCGAGACCCTTTTCTCTGGACCTCTGTGAGTACATTATTACAATACATTTTTGTGTCAAATTTTCACCAAAAGCAATTTTTTCACAGGCAGGCGTGAGGGCAGCTATGTGGGGAGCGGGGTCCTTCGGAGAAAACTATACGGAGCTGTCAAAATAACTTTAGCAGTGTCTGAATCCGAGTGAAAGTCAGAGACGGGAATGAGATGGAAATGAGCGCTGTGTTCGGAGCGATGGACGCTCGCGTTAAGCTGGTCACACTGGCTGCGTCCACATTGACAGAGACTTCTGTGTATGAGCGGAGGAGGAGGAGGAGGGGAGGAGGAGAGGAGGAGAGGAGGAGAGGAGGAGAGGAGGAGAGGAGGAGGAGCGAGATAGAGGTGTGTGAGGATGAGCAGCAACTCCTGTGTGTGCGCGGAGGAGGAGTGAGACAGATGTACACATCAAAAACATTAAAAGCATTAGCAAACAGTGCATGTCCTGCTTTAGTGCTCACTGAGTGCAGTGGATTATGGGTATAAAAAGATTATGTTGTGGTCAGAGTGTGTGGAGGAGGAAGAGGAGGTCAGAGTGTGTGGAGGAGGAGGTCAGAGTGTGTGGAGGAGGAGGAGGAGGTCAGAGTGTGTGGAGGAGGAAGAGGAGGTCAGAGTGTGTGGAGGAGGAGGAGGTCAGAGTGTGTGGAGGAGGAGGTCAGAGTGTGTGGAGGAGGAGGTCAGAGTGTGTGGAGGAGGAGGAGGAGGTCAGAGTGTGTGGAGGAGGAAGAGGAGGTCAGAGTGTGTGGAGGAGGAGGTCAGAGTGTGTGGAGGAGGAGGTCAGAGTGTGTGGAGGAGAAAGAGGAGGTCAGAGTGTGTGGAGGAGGAGGTCAGAGTGTGAGGAGGAAGGAGGTCAGAGTGTGTGGAGGAGGAGGTCAGAGTGTGTGGAGGAGGAGGCCAGAGTGTGTGAAGGAGGCGGAGGAGGCCAGAGTGTGTGGAGGAGGAGGCCAGAGTGTGTGAAGGAGGAGGTCAGAGTGTGTGAAGGAGGAGGTCAGAGTGTGTGGAGGAGGAGGTCAGAGTGTGTGGAGGAGGAGGCCAGAGTGTGTGGAGGAGGAGGTCAGAGTGTGTGAAGGAGGAGGCCAGAGTGTGTGGAGGAGGAGGTCAGAGTGTGTGGAGGAGGAGGTCAGAGTGTGTGGAGGAGGAGGTCAGAGTGTGTGGAGGAGGCGGCCAGAGTGTGTGGAGGAGGAGGTCAGAGTGTGTGGAGGAGGCCAGAGTGTGTGGAGGAGGCGGAGGAGGCCAGAGTGTGTGGAGGAGGAGGCCAGAGTGTGTGGAGGAGGTCAGAGTGTGTGGAGGAGGCCAGAGTGTGTGGAGGAGGAGGAGGTCAGAGTGGAGGAGGAGGAGGTCAGAGTGGAGGAGGAGGAGGTCGAGGAGGAGAAGGAGGTCAGAGTGGAGGAGGAGGAGGTCAGAGTGGAGGAGGAGGAGGTCAGAGTGGAGGAGGAGGAGGTCGAGGAGGAGGAGGAGGAGGAGGAGGAGGCGGAGGAGGCGATGGCAAAAACAATATTTGAAAGAAGCACTTCAACAAATAAAGATCCTGATCCTCCACAATAATCATGTGTTGCAGTCTCTGCTCTGAGAGTTTGGGAGAGGTTTGTGTTGTGTAGAGGTTTGTGTTGTGTAGAGGTTTGTGTAGTGTTGTGTTGTGTAGAGGTTTGTGTTGTGTTGTGTAGAGGTTTGTGGTGTGTAGAGGTTTGTGTTGTGTTGTGTAGAGGTTTGTGGTGTGTTGTGTAGAGGTTTGTGGTGTGTTGTGTAGAGGTTTGTGGTGTGTTGTGTAGAGGTTTGTGGTGTGTTGTGTAGAGGTTTGTGGTGTGTTGTGTAGAGGTTTGTGGTGTGTTGTGTAGAGGTTTGTGGTGTGTTGTGTAGAGGTTTGTGGTGTGTTGTGTAGAGGTTTGTGGTGTGTTGTGTAGAGGTTTGTGGTGTGTTGTGTAGAGGTTTGTGGTGTGTTGTGTAGAGGTTTGTGGTGTGTTGTGTAGAGGTTTGTGGTGTGTTGTGTAGAGGTTTGTGGTGTGTTGTGTAGAGGTTCGTGGTGTGTTGTGTTAGAGGTTCGTGGTGTGTTGTGTAGAGGTTCGTGGTGTGTTGTGTAGAGGTTTGTTGTGTAGAGGTTTGTGGTGTGTTGTGTAGAGGTTTGTGGTGTGTTGTGTAGAGGTTTGTGGTGTGTTGTGTAGAGGTTTGTGGTGTGTTGTGTAGGGTTTGTGGTGTGTTGTAGTTTGTGGTTGTGTAGAGGTTTGTGGTGTGTTGTGTAGAGGTTTGTGGTGTGTTGTGTAGAAATAAACAAAGCAGATTAATGTTATGTGTGAATTATACACACTTATATATAGATGGTTTTGTTCTGAATAGTTCTTACTGTAGTCGTTGTTTAAGGTTTTCAAATCATTTCATATGAAAGAAAAAGCTTGAATGGATTTCTATGAAATAAAATATTTGGATGATGTCCGGACCCTAATCTATTAAACTGATCAAGTAAGTGGACCTCGTGCCAATTTAACTGGGGACCCCTGCTCTAGTCCGTCTTCTTCCCTACACACTTATGCCACACTTCTATCACTTTGCACGGCTGCTTTTACTATTTAACACTAGTCTGTTTGACAATATGACATCATATACGTTTACAGTACATTATATTAAGTTTACAGTTTATAGATTTGGGTAAAGGTTAAAGGACTTTGGGAAAGGTCCTAATTAGATCCTCACTGTTTTGAAAAGTTATCCATCTTTTTATGTTATTATTATGTCTTCTTAAACTGTGTGAAACATGGAGCAGGACTCACCTGAGGACCTCCAGTCTGCAGGTGGCGCTCTTCAGTCCAGAACACAGCTGCTCCACTCCTGAGTCTGTGAGGTCATTGTTACTGAGGTCCAGGTGTTTCAGAGCAGAGGAGCCGAGGACCGAGGCCAGAGACTCACAGCAGAGATGAGACAGACAGAAGGACAGACTGAGGAGAGAACAGGATCCACTGTTATTAAATAAACACAATAATATAAAACACAGACCCACTGTCCTCATCCTTTGTGTTTAGTTTCTTTACACAATATTAAGGTGAAAGGATCATTCCTCAAATGTCCTGGTGTGGCCCGGTTTAGCTCGGGTTCATCTTAGTCTTGTCACGATACTGAATTCATAACTCAATTTTGATACAAGACAAAATACGTCAAACTAATTTGAAAAACCACATTATTTATAAAGGCTCTTTTTGGACAATAAACTGACATTTTTAACTAAAAATAATAATGATCTTCATAGAGCCATAAGGTTTTATACAAGTTCTTCTGATATTGTTTAAAATGAATCGAAAAATGTCAAGTGTCCAGTTTATGTCATTCTTTTTATGACTGAAGCTAAATAACATATATAACTAATCTAACCATAATCAATATACAGATCATTTCAAACACAATGATTAATCAATAGTTGGAACTGTTTGAATGTATTTGTTTTATATTCTAATGATTAAATAACATTTAATGAGACACAAGACAAATAAAGTGAATCAATCCAAAAATCCATCATTAGAGATTATTCTGTTCCACTTTTGTTCATATTTCAACAGGACGAAAATGTAAATTACTGATTACACTTTTCAACATTTCATTGTCGTGCACTTTATCTAGAGCTGGTGTTTCTTACTAACTACAACTAATCATTCATTATTTATTTCACCACAAAGAAACCAAACTGGAGCTGGATGAGAACTTGGAGAAAATGGAAACTGTATTAGTTTGAATGCAGTGGTTTTTGTTCTTCAGACTTTTATATTAAAACACAATAATGCAAATGTTCTGCTGCTCTTTAAGGTCTGATATGGGGCTGTTCTGGGTCTCACCTGAGGACCTCCAGTCTGCAGGTGGCGCTCTTCAGTCCAGAACACAGCTCCTTCACATCAGAGTCTGTGAGGTCGCAGTGACTGAGGTCCAGATGTTTCAGAGCAGAGGAGCTGACGACTGGGGTCAGATCAAAGTATCCCAGGAAACAGCTGGACAGACTGAGGACAGAGAGGAAGATAACAGGCTCCAATCATGAGTTTGTGTTTTAATAAAATCTCGACTCACGTGACTTTTCTGGAGGCTTTCATTACAGGCAGCAGACCCTTAATAGCATTTGGAAAATAAGAGTATTCTCTGATGTCAAAGTCCTGGAGCTCAGAGTCTGAAGACAGTAAGAGGAGAGACACCGCTGTCCACTCACTCACAGACATGTGTTTATCAGAGAAATGTCCTTCTCTCATGTAGCGCTGCACCTGCTGAAGCAGACTGTGGTCGTTCAGCTCATGCAGACAGTGGAGCAGGTTCATACGACTCTCTGATGGAATATCCTCATCCTCCAACTTATCTGTGATGCACTTTATTGTGTCTTTATTGGTGTCTGAGGCTCTTCCAGTCTTCTGCTGCAGACCTAATAACAGGCTGTGATTGGTCGAAAGAGACAGACCCAACAGGAAGCGTAGAAAGAGGTCCAGGTGACCGTTGGGACTCTTTACAGCCTTTGTCACAGCAGAACGGTAAAAGTCAGACGTGGCGCTCTCTGCGTCAGACGTGGAGCTCTCTGCGTCAGACGTGGGCCTCTCTGTGGTTTGTTGTGGGGACAGCAGGTTGAGCCCAGAGCTGTAGAAGGTGAGGTGGACGTGAAGCGCAGCCAGAAACTCCTGCACGCTCAGATGGATGAAGCAGTAGACCTTGGTCTGGTACAGCCCCGGCTCTTCTCTAAACACCTGTGTGAAGACTCCGGAGTAAAGAGAGGCCCCTGCAGCGTCCAACCCACACTCCTCCAGGTCTGAATCATAGAAGATCAGGTTTCCCCTCTGCAGCTGCTCAAAGGCCAGTTTTCCCAGAGACAGCACCATCTCCCTGGTGTCAGGGCTCCAGTGAGGCTCGCTCTCAGAGCAGCCATCGTACTTGAGGCTTTTGACTTTGGCCTGGACCACCAGGAAGTGGATGTACATCTGGGTGAGAGTCTGAGGCAGCTGCTCTTTGAGCCCTGTCTCCATCACATGGTCCAGGACTGTGGACATCATCCAGCAGAAGACCGGCAGGTGGCACATGATGTACAGACTGCGTGAGCTTTTGATGTGGGGAGATCATGTCTGCGGCCCGCTGTTGGTCTCTGAACCTCTTCATGAAGTACTCGTCCTTCTGCGGGTCAGTGAACCCTCGCACCTCTGTTACCATGGAGACACACTCAGCAGGAATCTGATTGGCCGCCGCAGGGCGTGTGGTTATCCAGAGGCGAGCAGAGGGAAGCAGGTTTCCTCTGATGAGGTTCACCAGCAGCACGTCCAGCGAGACGCTCTCTGTGTCGTCTGTCAGGACTCGAGTCCCAGCGAAGTCCAGAGGAAGTCTGCACACGTCCAGACCGTCCAAGATGAAGAGCACCTGCAGCTGCTCGAGGCTGCGCAGACGTTTGGCTTCGCTGTAGAAGTGCTGTGTGAGTCCACGGAGGCTGAAGGCTGTGTCTCTGAGAACATTGAGCTCTCTGAATGTGAACGGCAGCAGCAGCTGGACGTCCTGGAGCGCCCTGCCCTCAGCCCAGTCCAGACTCACCTTCTGAGTCAGCACTGTTTTCCCCACACCAGCCACGCCCTTCGTCAGCACCAGTCTGATTGGTTCCCGTCTCTCGCTTTGCTCTGCTCTCACTGGTCTTCCTTTGAGTGCGGGCCCTTTAAACATGTCCTCACATGTGATGGGGCGCTCTGGGGCGGCTGCTCTCCTGGATCTGCTCTCGATGAGTCTGACTTCATGCTCCTGGTTGACCCCCGCGGCCCCTCCCTCTGTGATGTACAGCTCAGTGTAGACCTGCTTCAGAGGGGCGAGGCTTCCGGCTTTAGCCACGCCCTCAGACACAAGGTTGAGCTTGTGCTGCAGACGCTGCTGCAGTTGATCTCTGCAAACTCCAGCCGCACTCTCTGTGAAGAACAGGAGGAACATGTGTGAGTCCAGGTTTACAGCCAAACACTGGTCACACCTCATGGTGCTACAGACACACATCAGAAACTGACACATGGGACCTTTAATGTTCAACACAAAATACAATGCACGTCCCCTTTAAGTGACTGTCTTTCAACAATCACACCTTCAGCATCAGGTCTCACTCCGAGCATCAGGAGACACTGTACCACATCAGCTTTCTTCTATTTTGAAGGGACAGTACGTAAGATGTTTTTATTTTAAATCTTTTATCTATCGACAGATCTAAATCATGTTTGGCCTTTTCTGATCAAAATGTGAATATTCTACCTTTTAAAAACAGACCATATTTATTGTTAAACAGATGATCCAATCAGAAAGAGGTTCTCATTGATGTTGCCAGTTTCTTTGGTGAAATCCAGTGTTTGGTCACTGAACATCAGTAATCACTGCTGCAACAGCAGGTGTGTGCTCTACAGGCAGGACACTGGGTCTGATGTCTAGTTTTACAACATGTCAATATTCTACCCAATCATTTGTATTTTAAATACTTATTCTGCTCTAGATTTGACTTTTAGACGACTTCTTTTTCTCAGATCTTTTATTTTTAAATATGTGAACTGTGTTTTCTTTGTTCTTACGGCTGAGCAGCTCGGCCACTCGCCCCTCCCCCATCCTCTCCAGGAAGTGCAGTGCGATGGTCAGGAGGGCCTCTCTGATGAGCTGCTCCTCCGCCACTCTCTCTGAGCATTCTGGGTAATCTGAGTTCAGGGCCCGGTGGAAGCTCTGCAGCTGCTCTTTGGCAAAGTCCAGGACCTGCTCCTGCAGCCGCTGCAAACACACAAACTCAGTCAGAACCTAACCTCACAGACACTGTGTTTGTGTACTGACCGTGAAGACTGGGAGCAGCGGGTCTATACCGAGTTGATCCGTGCTGCTCTCCGCTCTGGGGTCACAGTCAAAATATAGAAAACACCAAAGAAACAAACTATGACTCATGACTTTCATTTAATGTTGTTGTAGCAGCAAAAAGAAAAGTTAAAACAAGTTTGTTAGAATCAGGCACATGTTTATTGATGCCACAACACAGCAGCCACTGAGACTTTCTGACAGTTTTCAATCAAAGGAAAAGGCAAGTTTATTTGTATCGCACAGTTCATACAAGTGCATAACACACTCTGCTTCTGCTTCTCTGCTTTTAATCCGGTTATTACATCCTCACTAATGAGTCATTTCATCACTAAAGTTTATTGTGGAACAAAGTAAACTTTGCCTTTCACCAATGAAAGCAGAGAACGACCTTTGGCCACCGCTGCTACTTACCCCATGTTCTCAGGTGGAGTGTTCTTAAACTCTACGAGCCAGCCTTTAGAGCTGTCACTCTTCAGAGACTCGCAGCTGGGACCAGGTCTGGTTTGAGATCCAGATTTGTCCAGTTTTCTCCTGAAGATGATTTTTAACAGTTAATATTTATGTATATAATAATAATAATAATTTATTTATCTATAATTGGCACTACATGAATTGTTGAAACAAAACACAAATGTAATTGTTTTTAAGAACATTATGCTTGTTGTTAACCCTTTAAGCGCCAGAGGTTTTTTCCAAATCACTCCATTGTGACATCTTAATTTCAAAAGGCTATAACTTAAAGTGATAAGACAGGGGTGGCCAACCAGTCAGAGACTAAGAGCCAATTTTTTTTACCGTGTTACAGCAAAGAGCCACATCATACAAATGTGCACTACATAAACATCACCCCAACCCTTACACACGCGCACGTACGCACACGAGCAGACACGCTCACACACACACACACATGCAACCTGTCTGAGCAGAGAGAGGTGTGCTCTGCTCAGACAGATGTATTGTAAATGTCATCAACATGATAATGACAGAAATTGACTCGTACAGTACTAAATGGCTGGACTCGACTCTCCCCGGTTTGCGGGCGCTTCTACCGCTCGCTTCAACCGCTCCCCGGTACTTTTTATCAATGGTTTGGCCCTGGTTCTAACCGGACGAGTCGATACCAGAACAATTTCACGTCAGCGAACATCAATTATGATTCCGAAATGAATGCTTTCAATCTCTAACCAAGAAAAAAAATCAAGTTTCAACCCAGTGTTCAGCAGAAACACAACTGTCTGGGTGCGTACCGATGTTCCCCGGGTCCGTTTTTGCCCTGGCCGCATTTGATCTTGTATTTCCATAAATTTTGCGTGTCTGTGTGCTCCAGTCATAAAGTGATGCAGGTCATTTAAAACAACAAAAAAGGTTTCAATGCACGGAGAGACTTTTCCTGCTGTGCACAAGACAAGGTTAAGTCTGTGGGAGTTGCAATGCACATACACAGCGCGAGGGAAGGTTCTCTTCAATATCACATGCACACCGCCCTTGTTCCCCGACATGACGGATGCATCATCAAACCCAAACCCTACGCACAGCTCTGGGTCAAGTTGCAGCGGCTCCAAAACCTCTAATATTTTTGTTGATATGGCCTCTGTTCTCAGTCTGCACAAATCCTACTGCTCTTTCTCTCAATGCGCCTTTGTGCAGGTACCGGACACACACTGCCACCAGTTCTTTTTTTGATTGTCCTTACACTCATCTGCTAAAATGGCATAATATGCGCTGGGCTCGTCATGCAAATCTTTCTTTATTTTACTTATAATAAGGGAGGTTGTGATCTCAAGTATTTCATTTTGTATACTGTGATGTAAAAGCTTATCATTCTTTGGCAATTGGTCAAGTCGTTCTTTAATTTGTGGATCATATTTTGAAACCAATTCCAGCAACTCTAGGAAATTTCCTTTATTCAATGCATCTGCATTTTCCCTGTGACCTCGCAGTGGAATCTCTTGTTTGGCACAGAACAGGACTAGGTCGATAACCAGTATGATGTGCTCCCTGTTTCTGTCAATTAATGCTTTGTTTTGGGCATCTCTGTTCAACTGATTGATAATATTCCCACGCTCTCGGTGACTCTGCTGGTATCCTGCCATTTTACCCGAGGCCCTCTCGTGTCCCTTGCTCCCTTCGTGCTTTATACAAATCGCACTAATGTTTTTCCAATCTTTCGTTCCATTAAAAATGAAGGTATTGTCTTGCAAGGCATCTGGAAAATGTCGACATTTATTGCAAAACACAGCATCCTTCGAGATGCTGTATTCCAGCCATGGAAACCTCTGGTACCAGTGTGCAGAAAACCTCCTGTCCTTTCCCCCTATACTGGAAGAGGGGAAAGTGCGCAGGTTGGGCTGCGTGGGAGGCTCGTCTTTAGAAGACAGATCGTGGGGACAGAGGCGAACGTCCTGTGGGTCGGCTGCATTATCTCCTACAACACAAATAACTAACTTTAACTTTAAATTACTACACGTAAACGTAAAGAAACTACATTCTAATTAAAATTATTGTCAACTTGTTGATATAAAAAAACAACAGCAAGCATGATACATCCTTCAGGACATTTAATATAAACACCTTTTCTCTTTTGAAATGATCATAAAAGTATATAATAAAAAGTTGGTTCAAAAAAGTACTTTGTCGGTGCACACTTCTGAGCAGAACTAAAATCTTTATGAAGGCTGACAGACGCAGTGGTCCTAACGCATTTTCGTAAATGTAGCCTATGAATAAAAACAAATATGCTAAACATTAAAATGCTCAATGTCCTCGTTTGTATTGCTAATGCGAATGCACAATTGGTCATTTATTACAAACAGTTCATATATATTAGGCTTAGGCCTACCCTTATGCGTTATTTCATATTATTTTAATAGCCATAATATCGTAGTTGTTTTGTTATAGTCCACAAGCAAGCCTTCTAAATGGGAAAATAGTACGTGTCGAAGCTGCTGCTCTGACCTACGGGGCTGGGCCTCTGGCTCCTCCTCTACCTGAGTCTCGCCTTCACGAAGTTCAGATCGAACTTTCTTAAAACTAAAATTAAAAAGGCTACTCTGTTTTGAATGTTTTGAGAACATTGTCAACAAGGAATAGCTGCTTGTTCTCGGGGAAACTAGTTCGCTAATGAGTTTCGCGCCGTTTGATATGATCATGCATCTCATTGGACAAAATTGTTTAGCCAACAAACAGAACTATATTTAGAAGCAAGGTAAGAACGTGATCACGTTTTCTAAAAAAACATTTGAACGCCACATTTAGGCGATAATTTATGATAACAACATTTAAATTATGACTTATGAATAAAAAAGGCTTATGACTTGAGAGGCAAAGAACAAATTTGAGCAGGCCAAGAAAAAAAATGGTAGGCCCCGGCCTACCTAGGCCTATCCCTGGCGCCGCGTCTGGAGTGCAGCCTTCAGAAAAAAAAACTTGCTGAGAGTTTGGAGCGGCTATGGCACGAGCACAGTCCAGCTACAACAAGAGCGGGTTGCGAGGATGAACGGAGGGAGATATGTTTCCAAAAAGAAAAGGTGGTGGAGCTAATTTTACTTTTCTTATCTGCAACACGTTCTTATTCTGAGGTGGTAGGTTGTAAAAATGTAGTTGGCTACTACAATGCGAGATCTACAAGGCTTATAATATAAAGTATTCAGTAGCCCTATAGACTAGTTATGAGCGAAAGCCGCTTGTTGCTCCATTATCCGCGCGTAGCCGTCAGGCGCATGAAGACGTGCAGCAATAACATGTCTATGAGCGAGGCCCGCAGTCGGGGAACACCGGGCCCTCCGGCGTTTGGAAGGTCCGATGTTCCCCGGGGCGGGGAACACCGGACCGACCCCCAACTGTCTTTATCGAACCATGATTCACTCTCTGACTGCGTTTAATAAAAGATATAGATTTGACACATAACACCAACACCACTTTAGCTGATTTAGAACCACAGACACATGTTCAGTATAAGACCAGATACTTTTGCATTTGATTGAAGACAGACACTCACCAGGCAGAGTTGGCTTATCTCCTGGTGTAACGCTAGCTGGTGTAAGCTGGTTTTAGCATGTTAGCCGGTGTTAGCCCAGTGTTTCCCACACATAGACTAATCTGTGGCGCACCGCCACAGATTAGAGACCGCCCGCCACAAATTGCGTTTCGTATTATTATATATATATTTTTTTTGTTACGCTATTTAAAACATGCATCGTCTAGTGCCGCCGCAGCGGTCAATTTGACAGCGGGGAGGGGGGTTTAAAATGTGGCGGCCCTTCGTAACTCTCACTCAAGCTACGCGTCTCTCCCACATACAGAGACCTACACACACACAGCCCCTCCCCTTCGTGCACACCGCGTGTCTCCGTCTCCATCAGCGATCATCGCTGTAAGCAGCTGTGTCTATTAATTTACCGCGGTAAAGTGGCCCGCATCTTTCAGCTCTATGAACATGCGGCCCGCATCGGGGAAAAGACGGTGCGCGTTTTGTTGAGAACTTACGGTAACAGCGGAACGTCCTTTCGGAGTCACCCATTTTTATCGAACAGAAAGCGCGCTGGGGTCAGGGAGACACGTTTTTGTGATTAAAACCTTATAGAGATGCCACCCGGCACACATAGCACCAGCCCCCTACGATTCCTCCGGCAGATTGTGAGTCCTCAGGAGGATAGCCACTCTATTGTTTACATGTATAAAGTACACAATTTGGTCCGCTAGTGCAATTTTCAAGTATTGTAACTATTTACTGGAATAAGGTGTGCGACTAATTTCACTTGACTCATGACCTTATTATTGCCCTCTGCCACTGTACCAAAGACCAGAAACTTTTACTGTAGAAATATTGAGAAATATTGAGGTAAAGTAGCCATTTTGGTCCAAAATACCTCCAAAATAGTCAAAACATGTCACTTTTGATCTACTGTAACTTTTTACTGTAAAAAGGTGTGCGACTAATTTCACTGGATTCATGACCTCAAGATTGTCCTCTACCACTGTACCAAAGACCAGACACTTTTACTGTAGAAATATTGATTTAAAGTAGCCATTTTGGTCCAAAATAGCCTAAAAATGGTCAAAACATGTCACATTTGATCTACTGTAACTTTTCACTGTAAAAAGGTGTGCAACTGATTTCACTGGATTCATGACCTCAACATTGCCTTCTACCACTGTACCAAAGACCAGACACTTTTACTGTAGAAATATTGAGAAATATTGAGGTAAAGTAGCCATTTTGGTCCAAAATACCTCCAAAATAGTCAAAACATGTCACTTTTGATCTACTGTAACTTATTACTGTAAAAAGGTGTGCGACTAATTTCACTGGATTCATGACCTCAAGATTGTCCTCTACCACTGTACCAAAGAACAGGAACTTTTACTGTAGAAATATTGAGAAATATTGAGGTAAAGTAGCCATTTTGGTCCAAAATACCTCCAAAATAGTCAAAACATGTCACTTTTGATCTACTGTAACTTATTACTGTAAAAAGGTGTGCGACTAATTTCACTGGATTCATGACCTCAAGATTGTCCTCTACCACTGTACCACTGTACCCCACTCCCCACTCCCCCCCCCCCCCCCCGCCGACCACCACACATTGCCTTCAAACCTGTGGGAAACACTGTAGCCGATGTCCGTAAATTTAATCCAGTTGGTCAAACCACCTCCAGACTTTTCGGGTCTGCCTCTACTTCTGCTGCTGCAATCTTTCATTTCACGGTTATCACTTTTAAGCTTTTTAACTTTTCTCTGCATTGTCATGTTTGTGGAAATCATTATGCTCCGTCCTTAGCGCTAGCTCCACAAACACCTTCTGGTTTCTGGTGGAACCATCGAGCTCACGCTGGTGTCCTCTCCTCAAACTGAGGAAAGTGTTGCCCTCATCCAGCGACCAAGGAACTGTTTTCCGTACGGACGTCATGGGTCGAGGCAACATGTTGTTTGTTATGATATTTGCAACAGCTGAGGCAGCAGCTGCAGATTGATTGACAGCGCATCTGACCAATCAGAATTGACGTTCGCCGACGTCAGATTGTTTTGGTGGCCTGGCTAGTGGAGTGAAGTCGGCCTTTACTATGGGTCAGAACTACATAGAGAATGAATGGCAGCGCCACCACCGAGGCGTTTTTGACGCTTGTCGTGTGAAAGCCCGAGAGCCGCACGGAACCAGCCAAAGAGCCGCGGGTTGGCCACCCCTGTGATAAGAGATAAAGGCTTTCTGTAAATTAGAAAAATATTAAGGATGGTCCAAAGTTTATGTAGGGAATAAATCCCCCCATCTAATTTGCATATTATGACATCATTTGGTGTTAGAAAAAGTGGATTTTAGAATTTTCATACAATATTTGTATTTTTCTAACTGACATATATTGATCACTAAGACATGAACACACACAGAACTCACACTGTAACATTGTAAATGTTCATGAAAATAGTAAAAAATACAAATCATGGTGCTGCTGTGAGCAGTCTGCGCAGACGCGCGCCTCCAGGTGAAGCGCGTCACCACAACCCTCCTGCTGCTGCTGTCTCCCCTGCTCTCTCTCTCATCTCCCCTGATCTCTCTCTCGTCTAACACCACAAGACAAGGCTTCTCCAACACGTTACTGTCCCGGTGATTACGGGAGGCATGAAAATAAATATGTGGGAAGCACTTTTAGCTGAGACTTTAGTGGAGGCTGGAGGTCGCGGCGCGGCGCCCCGTTCCAGGCTTGTTTTACGCAAATCTAACCTGTCTCCAAACTTCCCAATGACTTGGCCTTACTCTGAGAAACAATGTTCACACTGCAGACCCTGTGCAAAGTGTCTAAGGCTGAGTTTACACGGAGACAATGTGGCAGTAAAACTGTATAGTTGGATGTCGGTTGCTACCAACCGTTCATACGAAGACTGTGTTCCAGGGGGGTGAAAACTTAAGTGTTCAGATCCAGCCTGCAGAGTGGGACAACTCAGAAACGCTGCACAGCGGGGGCTCTCTTTCACACCCGCGAGGGGGAAAAGGTGTGAAATCCCCCTCTGCTCTGACCCCCACGTCCGCGCTGCTCCCCGCACGTAAATTTGGACATGCGCAGTAGCGGAGAACAAACATCAACAAAGATGGCGCCGCGCACACTAACTAGCTTCGTGGGCTTCCAGCACTGCACAGAGGATAATTCTACTCCTTCGTTCGTCCAAACGAGACCACGCGAAGCTCTAGGTTCAGTTCCCATTGTCACAGCTGCTGTTAAAATGCAGAATGATGTTGGTACTTTCGGAGGGTCTGGCACAGGAAGTGAGTATACTGCCGAGAGGGGGGCTGGGCACGGGGCTGGGGGTCGTGTGAGTGTTGTAAAGTTTCTCTGCCCACTACTGGCCGGGCGCTAGAACTACATCGTTTTTCAACCTCATGTGAACGCTGAGAAATTTGCATTAGGAGCCAGGTCGTTTCTGTTAATAGCCTGGAAACGTCTGCGCAGCGTCTCAGTATAAACAGGGCCTAAAGTTAGTGCTTGGTGCGGTATAACACTCGCAGGCTGTAGGTTCTCTGTCAGGTTCTCTATCTGCTGAGGTCGAGCTGTTTTACAGTAGTTTACATTGAGTTCTATGGGGAACATTTCTGGGTAGCCCGTGTGAATTTAGTCTGCAGTACCTCGGGAAGCCCCAAGGTGGTCACGAGGACACAAGCCGGTCAGAGCGAGCAGATGGAGACACTTGCAAACAGCTAAACCAGAACTAAACCAGGCTGACAATGGGGGACACAGTGCTTGTGAACATATGTCTTCACCCTGAGTTGACATTCTACTGTCACTGAATACAGGTGCTGCTAACGTGTTCACAGATACAGAAGCTCCGGTTAATACCATGATAACATCCATGTTGCAGCTCCGTGAGCAGATACTGTCGCTATGTGACGTCTCTGGAGGATGTTGGCACACAGAGACGCAGAGGAGCTGCACTCTTGGAGAAGAACTTTATACAAAAAGTCACTGTAGCTTTGTGTAAATCGGAAGAGAAGTGGAAACTTTACACGGTCCTAGTATTTTTTAATCCTTCTGATCGAGGGCCATCTTCACACCCCTGTGGCGACGATCCGGGCCACTTAGGCCAGTTCGTTTGTGACCGTGCCCTACATTAAAGCTGGGGTACCTACATTTTCCCTTGTAATAAAAACATGTTGGTCGGACTTCCGGTCGGATACACCTTGGAGATGGCCGCACCGTGAGGGAGCAGCCGACTGAACCGTAGCAATTAATGCCAAGCCCCGGCCAAATTGAGAAGTATATCTGAGAAATGCAAGGATAAAGTCGAGGGGAAGAGAAATACACCAAACCCAGTGTCTATATAGCGCCTACAAGTAAGCACACGGACGTTTCAACAAGTGCTAACACGGCTTGCTAACGCTAAGCTAACAGCCCACAGCACGCAGAGCTAACACGAGTCAGACATGGCTAGCAGTGAGACACTGCTGCAAGAGCTCAGAGAGTTCCGCAGAGAAAACAAAGAGCAATTTCAAAGCATTACCAATGACCTAGCAAGAGTCCACACCCGACTGGAGGAAGCAGAGAAGCGGATTGAGAAAACAGAGAATACAAAATGCGGAGGACGCCATTACGGTTCTACTGCAGTTGCACGTGAAGATGGAGGAGAAGCTAACTGATTTCGAGAGCCGTTCGAGAAGAGAAAACATTCGAGTATATGGGGTACCAGAGATGTCAGAGCGAGACTCTTCTTCAGTGAGTGCATTTATCGAGAACATTTTACGCGAAGGGCTGAAACTGGGAGATTCAGAGATGAATATAGAACGAGCACACCGCTCTTTGGGCCCTCTGCCACCCAACGAGGCCCCGCCACGCTCTATCCTAGTTAAATTCCTGAGCTTCAAGACCAAGGAACAGATCCTACACAAAGCATGGCAGCAAAAAGGCTTTACATGGAGCGGTAAATTGATTTCACTGGACAATGACTACTCCCTTGCTATTCTCAAGAAAAGAAAAGAATATGCGGAGATTCGCAACGTCTTGAAAGCCAACCAAATCAAATTCCAGACAGTCTTCCTCGCCAAGCTGAAGGTTAAGTATACCGAGGGTGATAGGCTTTACAACACGGTGGTGGAAGTAAGTGAGGATATGTTTAAAAGAGGTCTCCCCGTGGAGGTCATCAAAACACCGGAGTCAATCTTGGAGCAAGTGAAGCAGCTGACCTGGAACAGAGCGACCCGAGGGACTGGCCGCAGAACAACGCAAGCCGGACCGCCAGATCCAAGCTATAAAGTGAAGCTGAGAGCCTTTAAGAGGATGGAGGCAGATGCTACGGATGAATGAGGTTTATCTTCTGGTTTCATTATCAAATTTTTGTATTTTTGTATAGACACTGGTTTATTTGAGAAATATGGAAAGTAAGTATTAATATATATATAATAAAAAACACGGTTCTTCGGAACGCACCTTCTCACGGGGCTCTTGGCCCTGCTGATAAGGGCCCCTTTCACCGAACTGATGAGGACTTTGCCTTTAGAGGCTCAACAGGGTCTGTTTGAGAGACCCCTGCCTTGGAAGACACCATATAAGTTCATTTTTGTTCATGTTTTCATGTTGTGTTCTATTTTGGTTTCATGTTTATATACCTGGGGAAGCAGAGAACAATTGTGTAAAGTGACTATAAGCAAATCAATATGCATACTGATCATATAAAGGTTGTTACAATAAATATTAATGGTTTACACAATCCAGTAAAGAGATGGAAGGCCCTGACCAAAATCAAAAGAGACAAAGCACAGATAGCTCTCATGCAAGAAACACATCTTTCAGACTCTGAGCATGTAAAACTGAATAAGATGGGATTTAAACATGTGTTTTACTCTTCTCATGGGTCAGGAAGACGGAGAGGCCACTCTAATATCTGGAGCGGTGAACTATGAGCACATTTCTGAGCACAAGGACAAGGAGGGCAGATATGTCATGATTACAGGGAAAATTGAAGGTACTCTTACAACCATACTGAATGTTTATATCCCACCGGGCAGTGACTGGCCCATTCACCATCATATCTTTGGTTTGATTACGACTAAAAGCCAAGGAGTCCTAATATGTGGAGGGGATGGTGGATGTGTGGAGAGAAGAACACCCAGCTAAAAGACAATATACACACTACTCTCATCCTCACAATGTTTATTCTCCTTAAGATTATTTTTTTATGTTCAAAAATGACTTATTAAGAGTAAAAAGTAGTGAGATTGGGCCCTGTACAGTTTCGGACCATAATCCTGTTTACTTAAACATCTGCCTAGATTTAAAGATGCGATCTACGATTTGGAGACTAAACAGTAACATCCTGAATTACCCAAACACCAAAGAGGATTTGATTGTTGCAATTGAAGAATTTATTGTGTACAACTGTTACGGGCAACGACCTATTGTGCCAGTTGTGCACTCTATATAATAATTGTTTAATGAAAAAACAATTTTGCCACAAAGCAACCAAAAGATGTGCCTCAGACAAGAATCGAACCTGGGTTCTCCAGGTCCCAGGCTTTGATGCTATCCATTGGGCCAACGTAGCACCTCTGGGCTAGACAGGTTTGCACGCAGTATGATAACTGAGCGTCTAAGTAGCTGGCAGAGCTAAAGCGGACTTAGCCTGCCACCTTGTGGCGATAAGATGTACTATTTTTCACGCAGCTGCGTGATTCCCGAGAAGCGCGAATGAAGACGACAAAACAGAATGGGACCCACTGTAGTGTCTAAAGCAGACTTGGAGATTCTTATCCATGCATTTGTCTCCAGTAGGTTAGACTACTACTGCAATGGCCTGCTCACAGGTCTGTCCAAACAGGCTGTAAAACAGCTGCAGTACATTCAAAAATGCAGCAGCTCGAGTCCTGACTAGAACCAGGAAGTACGACCATATTAGTCCGGTCCTCAGGTCTCTGCACTGGCTTCCTGTGGCTCAGAGAATAGACTTTAAAACAGCTCTGCTTGTGTACAAGTCTCTCCATGGCCTCGCACCAAAATATATTAGTGACATGTTAGTCCCATATGAACCAGCCCGGACTCTGAGGAGCACAGGGACTGGACTCCTGTTAGTGCCCAGAGTCAGAACTAAAACATGGGGAGGCTGCTTTTCAGATTCATGCTGCTAAAATCTGGAACAATCTTCCTGAAGATGTGAGACAGGCCTCCTCTCTGACAATGTTTAAAACCAGGTTAAAACGGTGCTGTTTAGCTGTGCATACAACACTGAGGGATTTTATATTTTTATCTTTCGTTTTAATGTTCTGTAATTATTTATGATTTTAATGCTATCTTGTTCAGCACTTTGAGTTGCCTTGTGTATGAATTGTGCTATACAAATAAACTTGCCTTGCCTTGCCTTGCCTTGCCTTGATGTTCATGTTTCAGGTATAAGGCTGCAGACCGTATCCCAGTACAAAATATCTTGGCATAATCCTGGACTCAACTCTCTCATTCAAACCTCATGTTAAAATGATCAGTAATCGCATTAAGTTCACACCTCAGTAACTTCAGACACATCCGGCCCCAAATGTCAATACAAGCAGCAAAAATGTACATGCCACGCAATGATCATTTCACATCTAACATACTGTTTAACTGTCTGGTCACATGCCAATGTCCACAACTCTCTCAAACCCATCCTGTCCCTCTACAAACGCACCATAAAAACTCTGGACCGCAAACCACTCTCACATCATCACTGTCCAATATTACAAAAGCATAATTTACTCAGTTGGGAAAACATGGTCAAATACTCACATCTCTGCCTCACCTATAAAATAATTCATGGTTTGTCATCACCCCCACTCACACAGTTCATTCACATCAATACAGCAGACCACAGGAGAACCAGAGCAGCAGCAAGGGGCGACTGCATCATCCCTCTGAGAAAAAAGCCTCTTTGGTCAATCAACATATTCTGTCAAAGCCGCCCATGAATGGAATCTCACCCCCACAACAATTAGGAAACACCAATACATATGAAACATTCAAAATACAGGTAAAAAAATGGCTCATTCATAATCAAAGCTGTCAGCACTGACTCCTCACCGCTGCCCCTGCAGTGTGTTGCAAAAGGAGAAAGTGTGTTGTAGAAATGAAAGTAGAGTGCAAAGCAGTACTTTTGTTTAAGGAATGGTCAGTCTGTGTTTTAGGTTTAGAACAAAAGCTTCAAGTTCTGCAACTTTGGTCTAAGCGTATGTCTATAGTGTTCAAGCAACAGGAAAAAACTGTAACCAATTTGTTTAGCCCTCGGACACGTGAAGTTCCAATAATCCAGACATCTATATTGTAATGAGCCGAGTACATGCAGTCTGCCAGAAGGATGAGGGGAAGGGTACAAGAAAACTTGGGGGACAACAGAAAACAACCCTCCCCAAGGAAAATAAAAAAACAAACTAATAAAACAAGAAGGTGCACAACGGTTAAACAGCAGCTAGCCCATCCCAGCATCCCTAAAGAAGACTGGGTTATGGAGACGAGCTGATCCACCTCAGCCATGGAGGAGCAGCACATACCAGAGCGTCACCGAACAGGGCCCCTCCCCAGTTAAGTCAAATAAGAGTCATATTTAACATATAATAATCATTATTATTGGTTACAAAACCACCAAAATCTAACAAACAATGAGTTCGACCTCCAACTTGTTAAGTATAAAAGAAACATTATAACCACAGTATGCATGAATTAAAATGCACAAATATAGGCACATGAACAGATTAGCAGTAACGTGTGATTGCAGTTCTGGATTCAATCTTCTGACTGTCACCTTTCAAACATCGCACAAACGCACTTGCCTCATCAGAGTTATCAAATACACGTCGGTTCCCTCGGACACTTCATAAATCACATTTTAATCACATATAAATATTTGACCTGAGAACAGAGAGAAGCGGTTTTGTCTGGTTTTGTCTGGTTTAGTCTGGTTTAGTCTGGTTTAGACTGGTTTAGTCTGGTTTAGACTGGTTTAGACTGGTTTAGTCTGCTTTAGTCTGGTTTAGTCTGGTTTAGACTGGTTTAGAATGGTTTAGTCTGGTTTAGACTGGTTTAGTCTGGTTTAGTCTGGTTTAGTCTGTTCTAGTCTGTTCTAGTCTGGTTTAGTCTGGTATAGTCTGGTATAGTCTGGTTTAGTCTGGTTTAGTCTGGTTTAATATTGTTTAGTCTGGTTTAATATTGTTTAGTCTGTTTTAGACTGGTTTAGTCTGGTTTAGTCTGGTTTAGTCTGGTTTAGACTGGTTTAGTCTGGTTTAGTCTGGTTTAGTCTGGTATAGTCTGGTATAGTCTGGTTTAGTCTGGTTTAGTCTGGTTTAATCTGGTTTAATCTGGTGTAGTCTGGTTAAGTCTGGTCTAGTCTGGTCTGGTTTAGTCTGTTTTAGTCTGGTTTAGTCTGGTTTAGTCAGGTTTAGTCTGGTTTAGTCTGGTTTAGACTGGTTTAGTCTGGTTTAGACTGGTTTAGTCTGGTTTAGTCTGGTTTAGTCTGCTTTAGACTGGTTTTGTCTGGTTTTGTCTGGTTTAGTCTGGTTTAGTCTGGTTTAGTCTGGTTTAGACTGGTTTAGTCTGGTTTAGTCTGGTTTAGTCTGGTTTAGTCTGCAGTGAGCACATGGGTCCTTCAGCTCCAAGCTGTAATACCCAGTTATTATAATAGATCCATGGTTCGTGTTCACTGTGGTTTGTTGTCAGTTGGTGCGTCAGTATAATCGGTCCGTCTGAAACTCATCCAGTGAGAAATGTTCTGCGGTGCAAAAATAAATATGATTAAAATGCGTCCATTTTTTTAACGCACTAATTTTTGTGTAAATAATTAATCTTAATTAACTCGTTAAAATCCCGGCCCGACCAAGAACATGAGACTTTTCTCTGCCTTAAACACAGTTGTAGCTTTGAAGTTCCATGTAAGTGGTACATAAATGTGAGAAACTATTTGAACATAATATAAACATGAGTTAAAGACATTCACAGTAACAGATGTTTGTGTGAATCATTTATAATAATTTAAAGTGTGTTTGCAGTTTCATATGAAACACTTTAGTGTGTAGTGTTTCTGTGCAGTGAACTGACCTGAGTGTCTCCAGTCGACAGTCTGGACTCTGTAGAAAACCACACAGATCAGACACTGCTGAATCAGACAGATCGTTCAGACTCAGGTCCAGGAATGTGAGATGTGAGGGGTTGGACTCCAAAGCTGAGGCCACAGAGGAACAGCTGATCTCTGACAAACCACAGTCCTCCAACCTGAATAAAGAAAACATGATGTAATGAGCATCGTGATCTTATAGACTACGATACAAGCTGAGGAATAATGCCAAACAAGAACAACAGCTGAGCAGTGGGAAACACATGAACAATAACAATACAAAGGATTCATAATGATGTCACATATCACACACAAAGACCTGGGTCGTCTGTATTCCCTGTAATCTGACATGTGGATGATCAGCAGGCATTTTGGCACACATGCAAAGACTCCACTGCTCGTTGCTTTGATATTCTGAGACTGAACATGTTCCAAATATATAAGAATGATCCACACGTGTCATAGATTAAACATCAGAGCAAAGCACAGTACGTCTCCTTTAAGATATTAAACCCATTGTCACACACCAGAGAAACGACAAGAGTCCAAGAGCACAGGGACAGGATTCGAACCAACGACCACTTCTAAATAATGTCCTGAAGTCCACAGAGCGGCTCAGGTTCATGACCACAGCTGCTGTGGACACATTCAGGCCTAAATCTAGAAGCCTCAGATCAACTACTGACCCATTTTTACAGAATAAACTATATGTTTAAAACAGTGATGCATTCATGGAAACACCACTTAGTGAAATGAATAATAGTAATGAAGAATGAAACACTTTTATATATTTAAGTCTAGAATTACATACACCACATGAGGCTTTATATTAAAGGCTTATATTGTGAATAATCACATTTAAAAAGTGACTATAGTTTGTGCGTCCAACAACAGAAAAGTGTCCCTGATGTTGTCTTCACAGCTGTGTCTTATTAAAAGAACGTTCTAAGCCTTAATCATAGTAAGATGGATTTTACTTCCAGACCCTGAAGCTCCGCCCACTTCCAAGCTCTATACATCTTGATAAACAAGACCACTGTTTAGTGCTAAACTGTAATGATGTGAATAATACATTATGGTTCATTTTAACCGGTGCTGCTCCCTCTGTGTCATCAGGAGGAACTTGCTCCCACAGTTATGTGGACGATACACAGCTCTCACAAACATAAGGATCCCTGAGGTTTAAATGAAGGACACTCACGTGAGAGAGGAGAGCTCACAGTGAGGACTCCGCAGTCCAGCACACAGCACAGACACACTTGAGTCACTCAGTTTATTACGACTCAGATCCAGTTCAGTGAGAAGGGAGGGGCTGGAACTCAGCGCTGATGCCACCACTTCACAGTCGGTCTCTGAGAGTTCACAGTAAAACAACCTGTAAACAGACGTTAGATTTAAATATGTTGGAGTCTGATCAGGACTTGAAGCAGTTTGTGAGGACTGACCGAGCCTTCCTGCAGTTCCTCACAGCAGGGATCAGTCTCCTACGGCCTCCTGTAGACGTCTTGTACTTCTGTAGGTCCAGTTCCTCCAGGACCTGGTCTGACATCTGCAGCATGTAGGCCAGAGCAGAGCACTGGAACACAGACAGTTCTTCTGCTGAGTCCCTTCCAGACTTCAGGAGAAGCTGGATCTGCTGCAGGAGAGACTGGTCCTTCATCTCCATCAGACAGTGGAAGATGAGGATGATTCTGTCTGGAGACAGCGCCTTCGAGCTAATTTTTTTGTTGAGGTTTTCAATGACTTTGTGGATTTCTGACTGTTCCACTGGACTCAGCAGACCTTTTAAAAGTCTCTGGTTGGAGTCCAGACTGAGGCCATGAAGGAAGCGCACAAACAGGTCCAGGCGACCGTTTGAAAAACTCAGGGATTTATCAAGAGACTTTCTGAGAAACTCACTTGCACTTAACTTTGTCTGAGTCTTTTCACAGAGAAACTTCTCAACGACTTGCATGTCACTTCCAAAGCAGAGCAGCAGGTAAACCGCTGCCATAAACTCCTGGACACTCAGGTGGACGAAGCTGTAGACAGATTGGTTGAAGACAACACTTTCTTGTTTGAAGATCTCTGTACAGAGTCCTGAGTAGACCGAGGCCTCGGTCAGGTCCAGTCCCACCTGCTCCAGGTCTTCCTGGTAGAACATTATGTTTCCTTGCAGCAGATGTTCAAAGGCCAGTCTGCCCAGCTTCAGGAGGATGTCTGCTTCTGTCGACACCACTGTTGGATCTTGTTTCAGCTTCTGAACCTGACCAGACCAAAAACTGCTTTTCTCTGAACGGGCCTCAGGTCTCGGTTGGTATTTTCTCTTTCTGTTGGTCTGCACCAATAGGAAGCCTGCGTACATGTCGCTGAGAGTCTGGGGCAGCGCTCCGCTTGGATCGGTTCTCAACATGTGGTCCAGGACGGTGGCGGTGATCCAGCAGAAGATGGGGATCTGACACATGATGTGGAGGCTGCGGGAGCTTCTGATGTGGGACAGGACTGTCTTACACTGCTCTTCATCTGTGAACCTCTTCCTGAAGTACTGCTCCTTCTGACGCTCAGTGATGAAGCCTCTGACCTCTGTGACTCTGTGCACACTCTGTGCTGGGATCTGATTGGCTGCTGCTGGTCTGGAGGTGATCCATATAAGGGCAGTAGGAAGCAGAGTGCCTCTGATGAGGTTCACTATCAGCACACTGACGTCTGAGCTCTGTGTGACCTCAGAGATGAGCTCACAGTCAAAGTCCAGACCCAGTCTGCTCTCGTCCAGGCCGTCTAAGATGAAGAGGAGTTTAGAGACGGACAGAGAGTGTGGAGAGAGAGTCTGTGGACACAAGAACATGACAGTTACCAAGTCATACATGATGAATGCAGAGCAGTTTCTGAGCATGATGATGATGTGACATCAGTTTGACACCAGGGAATGAAGGTGTTTTTATAACGTTTTATTAGTTACTGATTCAAACGCCATCAGCTCAGGGGTGGGAGAAGTTCTCAGTTGTGTTAAACACTATAATAAATGTTTCAAAGTGAACGCTGCGAACTGGACTGAAGCAGAAGATAAAGCACCTGTTTTTCCAGCGCTGGATGGAACACTTGTATGAGCTGCATCAGACTGTAGCGCTGCCCTTTCACCAGGTTCATCTCTCTGAAGGACAGCGGCACCACCAGCTCCAGCTCCTGGTTCTCTGAGCCCTGAGCCCAGTCCAGACAGAACTTAAGGACTGAGAAGGTCTTCCCCACTCCAGCCACGCCGCAGGTCAGCACTGCTCTGATGGACTGTGGCGCCCCCTGCTGCTCCTCAGTGGGCAGTGCTTTAAAGATGTCCTGACACCTGATGGAGGTTTCCTGCACAGTCTTCTTGGAGAGTCCCCTCAGCCTCTGCTCCTCATGCTGGGCAGTCTTCTTGGAGAGTTCCCTCAGCCTCTGCTCCTCATGCTGGGCAGTCTTCTTGGAGAGTTCCCTCAGCCTCTGCTCCTCATGCTGGGCAGTCTTCTTGGAGAGTTCCCTCAGCCTCTGCTCCTCATGCTGGGCAGTCTTCTTGGAGAGTTCCCTCAGCCTCTGCTCCTCATGCTGGGCTGTGGTGTCACTGAGGCCCTCTGTGATGTACAGCTCAGTGAAGATGCTGTTCAGAGGAGTACTTCCTGCTCCTTCTGTTCCCTCGGCCACACTCCCACATCTGCTGATGAGACGCCGTTTATGATCCTGCAGAAGCTTCTGGAGCTCTTCTTCTGTGAGAGGAATGCAGATGTAACAGTTTAATCATGTGTTTCTTTTATATTACTTCTATTCAGCATGTTTCATTTAGAGCTTATTCCCCTGTTTCCAGAGTCTCCTTTTATCTGTGAAAGATGTAAGTCTCAGCAGAGTTTACTTCAGCTTTAGTGGCACAGTGCATCCAGAAAGTACTCAACCACCTTCATGCAGTTTGGACTATTTGAACACTTATGTACATGGGATTCTTTGTGTTTGATTCTTAACCAAACGGCAAAGAATCCTAAAAAACATCTTAAACTTTGTCATAGAGTATTCCGAGTAGATTGACAGGAAAATGAAAACCGTTGAGATTACAGCTGTAGAAATGAAAATTAGGGATGCACCGATATGAACACTTTGGCCGATTTTGATATCCGATATTAATGTTTCTGTTATGGCCGAAAACCAGTATTTGCTGATAACGATGTTTATAAAATAATAATAATAATAATTCTGAGGTGATAAAAGTTTGTACATACTGAAATTATTCCTCTATTTTCAGAGCACCAACACGGCTGTGAGCCGCTAACAGCAACACGGCTGTGAGCCGCTAACAACAACACGGCTGTGAGCCGCTAACAACAACACGGCTGTGAGCCACTAACACCAACACGGCTGTGAGCCGCTAACAACAACACGGCTGTGAGCCGCTAACAACAACACGGCTGTGAGCCGCTAACAACAACACGGCTGTGAGCCACTAACACCAACACGGCTGTGAGCCGCTAACAACAACACGGCTGTGAGCCGCTAACAGCAACACGGCTGTGAGCCGCTAACACCAACACAGCTGTGAGCGGCTAACACCAACACATGGCTGTGAGCGGCTAACACCAACACGGCTGTGAGGCACTAACACCAACATGGCTGTGAGCCGCTAACAGCAACACGGCTGTGAGTCGCTAACAGCAACACGGCTGTGAGCCGCTAACACCAACACGGCTGTGAGGCGCTAACACCAACACATGGCTGTGAGCGGCTAACACCAACACGGCTGTGAGCCGCTAACAACAACACGGCTGTGAGCGGCTAACAACAACACGGCTGTGAGCGGCTAACACCAACACGGCTGTGAGCCACTAACAACAACACGGCTGTGAGCCGCTAACAACAACACGGCTGTGAGCCGCTAACAACAACACGGCTGTGAGCCGCTAACAACAACACAGCTGTGAGCCGCTAACACCAACACGGCTGTGAGCCGCTAACAACAACACAGCTGTGAGCCGCTAACAACAACACAGCTGTGAGCCGCTAACAACAACACGGCTGTGAGCCGCTAACAACAACACAGCTGTGAGCGGCTAACACCAACACGGCTGTGAGCCGCTAACACCAACACGGCTGTGAGCCGCTAACAACAACACGGCTGTGAGCCGCTAACAACAACACGGCTGTGAGCGGCTAACACCAACACGGCTGTGAGGCGCTAACACCAACATGGCTGTGAGCCGCTAACAGCAACACGGCTGTGAGTCGCTAACAGCAACACGGCTGTGAGCCGCTAACACCAACACGGCTGTGAGCGGCTAACACCAACACGGCTGTGAGCGGCTAACAAACACGGCTGTGAGCGGCTAACAACAACACGGCTGTGAGCGGCTAACAACAACACGGCTGTGAGCGGCTAACACAAACACGGCTGTGAGCAGCTAACAGCAACACGGCTGTGAGCCGCTAACAACAACACGGCTGTGAGCGGGTAACACCAACACGGCTGTGAGCCGCTAACAGCAACACGGCTGTGAGCCGCTAACAACAACACGGCTGTGAGCGGCTAACAACAACACGGCTGTGAGCGGCTAACACCAACACGGCTGTGAGCCACTAACAACAACACGGCTGTGAGCCGCTAACAACAACACAGCTGTGAGCCGCTAACAACAACACGGCTGTGAGCCGCTAACAACAACACGGCTGTGAGCCGCTAACACCAACACGGCTGTGAGCCGCTAACAACAACACAGCTGTGAGCCGCTAACAACAACACAGCTGTGAGCCGCTAACAACAACACAGCTGTGAGCCGCTAACAACAACACGGCTGTGAGCCGCTAACAACAACACAGCTGTGAGCCGCTAACACCAACACGGCTGTGAGCCGCTAACACCAACACGGCTGTGAGCCGCTAACACCAACACGGCTGTGAGCCGCTAACACCAACACGGCTGTGAGCCGCTAACACCAACACGGCTGTGAGCCGCTAACAACAACACGGCTGCGAGCGGCTAACACCAACACAGCTGTGAGCGGCTAACACCAACACATGGCTGTGAGCCGCTAACAGCAACACGGCTGTGAGCGGCTAACACCAACACGGCTGTGAGTCGCTAACAACAACACGGCTGTGAGCCGCTAACAACAACACGGCTGTGAGCGGCTAACACCAACACGGCTGTGAGGCGCTAACACCAACATGGCTGTGAGCCGCTAACAGCAACACGGCTGTGAGTCGCTAACAGCAACACGGCTGTGAGCCGCTAACACCAACACGGCTGTGAGGCGCTAACACCAACACATGGCTGTGAGCGGCTAACACCAACACGGCTGTGAGCCGCTAACAACAACACGGCTGTGAGCGGCTAACAACAACACGGCTGTGAGCGGCTAACACCAACACGGCTGTGAGCCACTAACAACAACACGGCTGTGAGCCGCTAACAACAACACAGCTGTGAGCCGCTAACAACAACATGGCTGTGAGCCGCTAACAACAACACAGCTGTGAGCCGCTAACACCAACACGGCTGTGAGCCGCTAACAACAACACAGCTGTGAGCCGCTAACAACAACACAGCTGTGAGCCGCTAACAACAACACGGCTGTGAGCCGCTAACAACAACACAGCTGTGAGCCGCTAACACCAACACGGCTGTGAGCCGCTAACACCAACACGGCTGTGAGCCGCTAACACCAACACGGCTGTGAGCCGCTAACACCAACACGGCTGTGAGCCGCTAACAACAACACGGCTGTGAGCCGCTAACAACAACACGGCTGTGAGCCGCTAACACCAACACGGCTGTGAGCCGCTAACAACAACACGGCTGTGAGCCGCTAACAACAACACGGCTGTGAGCCGCTAACACCAATACGGCTGTGAGCCGCTAACAACAACACGGCTGTGAGCCGCTAACAACAACACGGCTGTGAGCGGCTGTGAGTGAATGTTGCCGCGGTAACGTGGTCATATAAGACCAAACACGCCACATTCTCTGCATGTTGTGTTCGTGTCTTTGTAACCTGTGTGTAACCTGTGCACGCAAATACACCGTGAAAGTGTCCTATCTCCTCCTCAAACTAAACTAAACTAAACTCTCTGAATTAAAGCTGGGGTACGTAAATTTCCCCCTTTCATTAACAGCTCATTTTGGTTGTGCCCAAAGTAAAAGGTTGTGAGCAAATCTGACAGATTTAAGAACATTTGGTCTGAATGACACGTGTTGTTACATTTGATAATCTCATTTAACTTCAATTAGAGTGGATTTGAAAAAGAATGTTAAAAATGCGATTAATCAATAAAAAAAACATTTAATCGTTTGACAGCCCTAATTAAAAGTGGTACATTTCATGCTATAATAATACTGTTGTGTTCATAAAGATGATTTATAGTTCTGTAATCGAGTATCCTCTAGCAAGCCTAAACATGGATTGATGAACATCGGCTGATATCGATATTTATACCAATATATCGTGCTTCACTGTTGAAAATGATATAAAAGTGAAAGAGGTGGAATACTTTCAGGAGCAGGTGTCAGACTGGTTTGTCCACGTATCGTTATATTCAGATTAAACAGGAGGAAATGTTTCTATAATTGAGGAGATGTTAAAGGTACAGACTCAGTATTTTTACACTTGTTCCAAATGAAAAACATCTAAATGAGACCTTAAGAATATTCTCCTCCACTATATTTGTGAATAGTTGTTAAAGGCTTAGAATGTGACCTATAAATGTCCATGAGGCTGGAAGTGGCTCCGTGTGAATGCACCATCTTCAAACACACACAAACATAAGAGACAAAAAGGACGTGAGGATCGAGTTTGTGATCTCACAGGTGATACTAATATCGTTGCTACTTTAACTGCGTGGCGCTCCAGAGTTGACTGTAAAATATGATCTCAACGTTAGATGGAGAAAAAAGACTATCTTTAAAGCCTTTACTTGCATTTGTTTATATCCTGTAACTGTCGCTCACATTATAAATCCTAGATGGAAACATTTACTGCAGTAAAACAATTACAAAGTAACAACAGTTCTTTGAACTGAGTGCATTGTGTGTTTTCTACCTCTGGTCATAAACAGGGAAACAGACAAACCTTGTGTCGCTCTGAGGGCTTGGGCCCTGAGGTCTTGGGTCCTGAGGTCTTGGGCCCTGGGGCTGGAGTCCAGCAGTGACTTTTCTCTGGACAAAAACATTGGATATTAGAGCTGTAATGGTTTATTAAAAGTATATAAATAACATTGATGAGACTTTGTGTGTAGTAAAGGTGATGTTGTTGTGTGTTTGACCTCGTAGTGTAGCTGTGGTCAGATGGTACCTTCTGATCTGTGTCTACAGAGCTCCAGGATCAATGGTTCTGTATGTTTTCTGGTGCGGGGGTCCCACAGCAGAGAACACCTCCTAAACACTGGATCCTAAAGCATGGTACAGACCACTGTGATGAGACTGAAGCACCATGAGCACATGCAGCTCTCACTACAAGGTCAAATGTGCAACAATATACACTTTATTTCACAAAAGCACATTACTAAAATACACACGTTCCATGGTCATGGACCATGAACCCTCTTTTCACATGTGATGTTCATGTTTAATCCACTGGTGATTCTATGACTAAGCCTCACTCTGTCCAGTCGTAAACTTTAAATATAAATGTAATCTAAAGTCAGATCAGTGTTAGTGTTTCCTTTGTTCTCACTGTGGTTTTGAAGAAGCAGCTTCAAGACTGAAGTTTGGTGGTTTAGGCATAGACCGGTCACTCTTCAGGGACACAGCACTGGACACTGAGGATCTGTGTGGAGAGAAAGACCATGTTACTCTGGGTCCATGGTTCAACCATCAACAGAACAGGTAAGACATGTGTTTTACTAAACTGCATTTACGATGAGACTAAATCTGACATAAATACTTTAACATTAAACATTGGTCAGATGCAGAACAGAGAGAGACCAGAGAGAGACCAGAGAGAGACCAGAGAGAGAGACCAGAGAGAGACCAGAGAGAGAGACCAGAGAGACCAGAGAGAGAGACCAGAGAGAGAGACCAGAGAGAGAGACCAGAGAGAGAGACCAGAGAGAGAGACCAGAGAGAGAGACCAGAGAGAGAGACCAGAGAGAGACCAGAGAGACCAGAGAGAGAGACCAGAGAGAGAGACCAGAGAGAGAGACCAGAGAGAGAGACCAGAGAGAGACCAGAGAGAGACCAGAGAGCCTCTGGTCTCTCTCTCAAATCAAATTAGCACTGCTGCTAACCTGGGACAATGCATCTCTCCTTTTGGCTAATCTTTATTATTATTATTATTATTATTATGTTTGAATCACTGTCCTGTCGCAGCATCCATCCTTTTTATAGAAACAGATCCTGGATCAGTCAGAGCAGCTCCTAAGCTTCAATAACAAATATAAAAACTGCACAGGAGGCTCATGGGAAGGGGCCAGTACCTAAGTAGCTTAGCAACGGCCTGATTTACCAATTAGCATGTGGTCATGGAGAGCAAAATGACAGAACAGTGGGTGATAAATACTATTGTCCTCTTACGTCACATTATCTAGACACTGTCACTCCATTTGACATTTTTCAGAAGATTGTTCTTGTTGTAAACTGCACATTTTCAGAATATTGCACCAAACTGTGACAATAACTTGTTCAGTGAATTTAGGCCTCAGGCTTTGAAATCTCTGAGATGTTGTTGAGGTAAAGGGATTGGATCAACAATAAATCATGTCCTTGTGTGTGGAGTGTGGTTCTGTGATAAGTTATAATGTGTGTACCTTCAGTGTAGTGTGTCACTATCTTGGAGCATATTCAGCTCATTTTCATGTTCAACATTAACAATTTGTCACGTTTTTGTGTGAATATTGTAATGACCTCCGCGGCCGCTAGAGGGCGACATTACTCAGTGGCCCGTCTGAGAAATGGCGCCCTCTTCAGGGAACTTCTTTATACAGCCTTTAATGCTGTTTATGTATGTTGTGTTTATTAATAATATTTGACATGTACTGAATATGAGAGTGTATATAAGAACACATCCTTTTAGAAGAAGTTATTGAATAATATGTTTGGTTCTTCATAGTATTAGTCTGTGTTTGCAGACTATCGTTCTGTGCAGCTGTAATAAATATTGGAGCTTCAATCCAGTCTCTCCCTACCTTCCTCTCCGACGTCCTGATCGACGCCCATCGTGTTTCATGTTTGAACCATAAGAATTAGCACCATACAGTCCATCCTCCGTAACACAAGCATTTAGGACAAAGTCTGCTCCTTTAATAGAGCTTTTGAGTTGGAAACAACCAAAATACACCAGGTGGGATTGAACAGAACTAAATGTAATCTAAAGTCAGATCAGTGTTAGTGTTTCCTTTGTTCTCACTGTGGTTTTGAAGAAGCAGCTTCAAGACTGAAGTCTGGTGGTTTAGGCATAGACCGGTCACTCTTCAGGGACACAGCACTGGACACTGAGGATCTGTGTGGAGAGAAAGACCATGTTACTCTGGGTCCATGGTTCAACCATCAACAGAACAGGTAAGAAATGTGTTTTACTAAACTGCATTTACGATGAGACTAAATCTGACATAAATACTTAAACATTAAACATTGGTCAGATGCAGAACAGAGAGAAACCAGAGAGAGACCAGAGAGAGACCAGAGAGAGACCAGAGAGAGAGACCAGAGAGAGACCAGAGAGAGAGACCAGAGAGAGAGACCAGAGAGAGAGACCAGAGAGACCAGAGAGAGACCAGAGAGAGACCAGAGAGAGAGACCAGAGAGAGAGACCAGAGAGAGAGACCAGAGAGAGACCAGAGAGAGAGACCAGAGAGACCAGAGAGAGACCAGAGAGAGACCAGAGAGAGAGACCAGAGAGAGACCAGAGATAGACCAGAGCGAGAACAGAGGAAGGCCTTTCCAGAATTTGTGTATTGTTTTTCTGAAACCGTTTTCAGAATCAGAATCATTTTTATTGCCATGTAATAAAAACAAAGAGGTCACAGACTTGGAAATTGCTTTGGCTCAGTGCAACAGTCAGAAAGAGATAATAAAAATAAGAATAAAAAACACTTCTAAGGAATAAATTTAAATTTAAAATAGAGTTACAGTTACTATTTACAATATACAAGTGCACATGGTGCACACAATGTAAGGTGACAGCAGTACAGTGAAGTAAAGTGACGTATGATGGGCAGTAAAGTGACTTTATAAAGGGCGGGGGGACAGGTTAAGAAGTGTTCAAGAGTCCAACAGCAGAGGGGAAGAAACTGTTCTTGTGGCGGGAGGTTCTAGTCCTGATGGACCGCAGTCTCCTGCCTGAGGGGAGTGGTTGGAATAGTCCATGTGCAGGTGAGAGGGGAGTGGTTGGAATAGTCCATGTGCAGGGTGAGAGGGGAGTGGTTGGAATAGTCCATGTGCAGGGTGAGAGGGGTCGGCTGTGATACGACCAGCCCGGCCTCGAGCTCGGGCGACGTGCAGGTTCTGCAGCGATGGAAGGCTGCGGCCGATCACTTCCTCTGCAGAGCGCACAATGCACTGTTTTCAAGTGGATTTGCCTTGTGAAATATAAATAAAAGTGTGTATCTCTGGGTGTGTGTGTGTATCTCGGTGTGTGTGTGTGTGTGTGTGTGTGTGTGTGTATCTCTGTGTGTGTGTGTGTGTGCGTGGATGTGTCTCTGTGTGTGTGTGTGTGTGTATCTCTGTGTGTGTGTGTGTGTATCTCTGTGTGTGTGTGTGTGCGTGGATGTGTCTCTGTGTCTGTGTACAGTATCTCTGTGTGTGTGTGTGTGCGTGGATGTGTCTCTGTGTGTGTGTATCTCTCTGTGTGTGCGTGTATCTCTCTCTGTGTGTGTGTGTGTGTGTGTGTGTGTCTGTGTGTGTGTCTGTGTGTGTGTGTCTCTGTGTGTGTGTGTGTGTATCTCTGTGTGTGTGTGCGTGGATGTGTCTCTGTATCTCTGTGTGTGTGTGTGTGTGTGTGCGTGGATGTGTCTCTGTATCTCTGTGTGTGTGCGTGGATGTGTCTCTGTGTGTGTGTGTATCTCTCTGTGTGTGCGTGTATCTCTCTCTGTGTGTGTGTGTGTCTGTGTGTGTGTGTGTGTGTGTATCTCTGTATGTGTGTGTGTGTGTGTCTGTGTGTGTGTGTGCGTGTCTGTGTCTGTGTGTGTCTCTGTGTGTGTGTGTGTGTGTGTGCGTGTGTTTGTGTGTGTGTGTGTGTGTGTGTGTGTGTGTATGTGTGTATCTGTGTATGTGTGTGTGTGTGTGTGTCTGTGTATGTGTGCACTTGTTTTCAACTCCTGGTGGGTTCCATAACCTGAGATTCCACTCACGTCATGGGGACTGGTTTTACGTGGTGGGGCCCGAACACCGGACCCCACTGGTCCAAGCTTAATAATCAATGGGTAATGCTTTTCTAACGGTCCTTATGCAGTCTCTGTAAAAATATGGAAAGGACCCCTGGAGGTTTACTTTCCTGAAAAAAGTGTGTTATGTGTCGGAACCCTGGTGGTGGGTTGTGGGATATCAGGGAGGGGCACACTGGGGCAATTTCAGTCCAGCAGGCTGGAGCCAATCATGGAGCAGCACAACAGAGGAAATCAGGTGTCAGGCTAGAAAAGGTGCAAGTGTGTGGTTCATTAGGCTGCAAGAAATCATGGAGGAGCACACTGAAGCGCACGCTTACAAACCACTGGTAAGTGCTGACTACAAGTCATGACTTCAAATTGTTATATAGAATTATTACAAATTATTTGTTGTTTGTGCAGCTTAGTCAAGAGTCCCTAATTGATGAAGTCGACTCAGATTCTGACGATTTAACTGTCAAGAAGAAACCTGTAAAAAAGTATGGAAAAAGAAAAATCAAAAACACTTTTCTTCAAGACTCGGAAAGTGACGAACCAAAGGCAAATAAGATTGTTATCATGCAGCTGCAAAAGAAGAAAAATGGGGGCAGAGTTTATAGCAAGAGACACTTCTGCCTCTACTGTTCAATGTCCTGCCACAAAATGTCCCGTCATTTGACTAGAAAACATGGAAATGAAAGTGACGTAGCCAGAGCATTGGCTCTACCTGTGAAATCTAAAGCACGTAAACTTCAGTTTGATTTGATCAGGAATAGTGGAAACCGTGAGCACAATTTTGAGGTTTTAAAGGCCGGCATTGGAACTTTAGTCCCAGCTAAACAGCCAAATTGCCCAGTTAAATCCAGTGAGTTTTTGCACTGTATAGACTGTGGGGCATTGCTTAAGCGAAAGTCGCTGTGGAGGCATGTGGCCAGGTGCCGGCTTTCACAGAAAGATGCCCAGGCTAAACCAGGTAGAAGTAGGGTCCAGTCCCTCTGCTCCCTAGCCCAGCCTGTCCCGGAGGGCATCAGCAAAAAGCTGTGGTCTTTAATTTCGGCAATGCATCAGGATGAGGTCACGGGTGTTGTCAAAGCAGAAAAGGGGATTCTGAGACTCGGAGAGCACCTGTACTTAAAACACGGGCATGATAAGACTAAGCATGATTACATCAGGCAGAAAATGAGAGAAGTCGGTAGGTTAATTAACGAAGCAAAAACCGCAGGGAAACTGAAAACAATTAAGGATTTCTTTATTCCTTCCAACTTTAACCATGTGATTCATGCAGTCAGGTCTGTGGCTGGATATGATGAGGAAACAAATCAATACAAGACTCCATCCTTGGCCCTCAAACTCGGCCATAGCCTCAGAAAGCTAGCAGATATTCTTGAATGTGACTCAAAAATGGAGCATTGTGTTGATGAACTATTTATTAAAAACCTCCAACGAAGCCGGCTGCTTTTTGAGAAGAGGTGGGACGTCTGTGTTTCTTCTGCTGCCCTACAGACCCTCCGGCAAGCCAAGTGGAACACTCCGGACCTGCTCCCTCTGACTGAGGACGTTAGAGCCATGCATGCACATATTGAGGTATGTCGACCTGAATATGTGCAAACCCTAATAAGTGAGCCAACGTCTAAGCATTGGTCTAAACTGGCAGTTTTGACTCTTTGTGAGGTCATTATTTTCAATCAAAGAAGGGAAGGTGAGGTTTCAAAGATGCCACTGACAGCCTTTATTGCTCTGGGACTGTCCCAACTTGAGAAAAAGCTGTGTCAGCATTTTCAACGCATTGAAATTAAAGGTAAAAGAAGTCGGAAAGTGCCGGTTCTTTTGACTCCTGAAATGATTGCTGTTGGATGGAGGTGCTGGTGGAGAACAGAAGGGCCTGTTCCATCTCTGACCATAACCCATACTTCTTTCCCGCCCGGGCGCAGACACCCACATCAGGGGATCAGACTCCCTACGCCAGGTAGCCAAAGAATGTGGTGCGGTGCATCCAGAGATGCTATCCTCAACCAAACTTAGAAAGCACATAGCTACTATGTCTACAGTTCTCAATATGAAAGAGAATGAGATGGACATACTAGCCAACTTCCTCGGCCATGACATTCGCATCCACAGGCAATATTACAGACTACCAGAGGGGACACTGGAGCTGGCCAAAATCAGCAAAGTGTTGATGGCCATGGAGCAGGGAAGAGTGACGGAATTCAAAGGAAAGAGCCTCGACCAGATACAAATTGAGCCTGAAGGTAATTCTTGATATTATTAAAATATGTATAATTTTTTTCCCCTAAAGGCCACTTGTATTTTTATTTTCTGTGCGACAGGGAGAGCAGTAGAGATCCTCTCACAAACGGACGGGCTAAAAGAAACTTCAAGCGGAGAACCTTCAACCATTCATCCAGATGCACCCCATGGTAGTGGCAGTGCCCCTTCTGGTAAGTGTACCAGGTGGGGGATTACAGCCAGGCTGCTTGGTCCTAACCCTGGGAGTGTATATTGCTAATATATTTTTATTTCTCTCCCTAGAACGTTAGAGAAAGCCATGGTCTGCATCTGAGGTGAAGGCTGTGGAGAAGACCATGATGCCTTTCATACAGACTGGAAAGGTCCCTGGGAAGTCTCACTGCCTGGCCTGGCCTGGCCTGGCCCGCATTAATGCCTCACCAGATGACCTTAGACATCGGACATGGAGTGGCATTAAATTCTATGTCAAAAATAGAATCACTGCAATTCGAAAAAAAAAATCTAAAATAAAATTCCTTTAAAAGAGTTGTTTGTTTTCAGTAAAAAAGATTATGTCTATGGGTCCCATTCTGAACGGCCCTGTCAAAGGGACCCACCAGGTAACAAAAACGTGTATGTGTGTGTGTGTCTTTGTGTCTCTGTGTGTGTGTGTGTATCTGTGTGTGTGCGTGGCTGTGTCTCTGTGTATCTCTGTGTGTGTGTGTGTGTATCTCTGTGTGTGTGTGTGTGTGTGTGTGTATCTCTGTGTGTGTGTGTGTGTATCTCTGTGTGTGTCTGTGTCTGTGTGTGTGTATCTCTGTGTGTGGTTTTATTATAACTTGTGGTAAATGAAATAGTATTTTCTGTCTGATAATGTTGGTCATGTTTCCATCTCCTTTTATTTTACTGTTTTACAACAACCTGCTCAGGAACCACAGGTGTAAATTAGCACTGCTGCTAACCTGGGACAATGCATCTCTCCTTTTGGCTAATCTTTATTATTATTATTATTATTATTATTATGTTTTAATCACTGTCCTGTCGCAGCATCCATCCTCTTTATAGAAACAGATCCTGGATCAGTCAGAGCAGCTCTTAAGCTTCAATAACAAATATAAAAACTGCACAGGAGGCTCATGGGAAGGGGCCAGTACCTAAGTAGCTTAGCAACGGCCTGATTTACCAATTAGCATGTGGTCATGGAGAGCAAAATGACAGAACAGTGGGTGATAAATACTATTGTCCTCTTACGTCACATTATCTAGACACTGTCACTCCATTTGACATTTTTCAGAAGATTGTTCTTGTTGTAAACTGCACATTTTCAGAATATTGCACCAAACTGTGACAATAACTTGTTCAGTGAATTTAGGCCTCAGGCTTTGAAATCTCTGAGATGTTGTTGAGGTAAAGGGATTGGATCAACAATAAATCATGTCCTTGTGTGTGGAGTGTGGTTCTGTGATAAGTTATAATGTGTGTACCTTCAGTGTAGTGTGTCACTATCTTGGAGCATATTCAGCTCATTTTCATGTTCAACATTAACAATTTGTCACGTTTTTGTGTGAATATTGTAATGACCTCCGCGGCCGCTAGAGGGCGACATTACTCAGTGGCCCGTCTGAGAAATGGCGCCCTCTTCAGGGAACTTCTTTATACAGCCTTTAATGCTGTTTATGTATGTTGTGTTTATTAATAATATTTGACATGTACTGAATATGAGAGTGTATATAAGAACACATCCTTTTAGAAGAAGTTATTGAATAATATGTTTGGTTCTTCATAGTATTAGTCTGTGTTTGCAGACTATCGTTCTGTGCAGCTGTAATAAATATTGGAGCTTCAATCCAGTCTCTCCCTACCTTCCTCTCCGACGTCCTGATCGACGCCCATCGTGTTTCATGTTTGAACCATAAGAATTAGCACCATACAGTCCATCCTCCGTAACACAAGCATTTAGGACAAAGTCTGCTCCTTTAATAGAGCTTTTGAGTTGGAAACAACCAAAATACACCAGGTGGGATTGAACAGAACTAAATGTAATCTAAAGTCAGATCAGTGTTAGTGTTTCCTTTGTTCTCACTGTGGTTTTGAAGAAGCAGCTTCAAGACTGAAGTCTGGTGGTTTAGGCATAGACCGGTCACTCTTCAGGGACACAGCACTGGACACTGAGGATCTGTGTGGAGAGAAAGACCATGTTACTCTGGGTCCATGGTTCAACCATCAACAGAATACAAACATTTGGACTTTGTTAAATGACTGCGATCAAACAATCCATAATCAAGTGAAATCATGATTTAAAAAGAATATTAAATCATGTGTCATTTTAGATTCAGATCAACAGAAGGACTTAAAGCAGATGGAAGCGAGTCCTGAGCTCTAACCACTGCAGTCCCTGTGTCTGAAAAGCACATTCAGAATCCTCTTTTCAAAGCAGTTCATAATAGTCCAGACTAAACCACTGACATCAGTGCATTTGTTCACACGGCTCTCGCTGACGACGAGAGGAAACACGTTTCTGCTGCTTGGTTTTAGTCATTTAGAAATATATAAATGTTCAGACCTGCAAACTCAGAGTAAAGAGGCCAACGCCAAATAATGAACTGCATTCTACTGCATTTCAGAACTTTACTATTTACTTATACTTTAGTTACAGCTTCTCAGTAAAACAAACTTTGTTAATAGAATTCTAGTTGAATAGAATTCTGTCCCTGAGCCGCAGAAGAAGACAACACAAACAGTCCTGTTTTACTTTAAACTCCTCCTCTGCTCCTAAAGGGGACAGGTTTGCAGCTGTTTCTGTAGTGTTTGTGCTGTAGAACTGACTGGACTGAAACATGATACTCACTTTGTTCTGACGCAGACACCTGGCTCAGTGCTGCCCCCTGCTGCTTCTTCACTGATGGTTCCTGGTATCTGCTCTCTCTCTGAAGCCATGGTCACATTCACTCGGCTGGAGGAGAAACCACAGATATATTTCACTGTTTACATGTGAACTGTTTTAAAAAGGCTGTAATCATTTACATAAACTACTATAGAGACATTAGCACAGGCCTAAACTTCAGGCCAGACTTCATTTCCTGCTTCAGTCCAACACTTTGATAAAGACAACACTATGTTAAAGTCACTATGAAGAGAAACTGTTTTCTACACAAGTGGATCACAATCACAAACTATAAGATCCTAATAATAAACATTAAAGTAAAGTCAGACTCACCGTCTCAGACACGTCTCAGTCCAAATACTTTCACTTCAGAAGTGACGTCACCAGCCCCTCCCTTCTGTTTCAGAGGAAACAAGTGTCTGCCCTGTGTGTGCGTCACAGAACCAGCAGGGGGCGCAGGAGACTCATTCAAACTGAGCCTCTCTGTCGTAAGCTACATGTGATAAATGTGAAGGACACAGAGGTTTCCTGCTGTTGGTGCCACTGTGGAAGAGAACAGTTTACACATGTCTTTAAATATGTTTAATAAACCTGTATTTTACATTAGTTACTGTCACTGACAGGAACACAGCTACTGGAAAAACACTTTCTCTGTCAGACTCTGGCCTCTGATCCAGACTGATCCAGACTGATCCAGACTGATCTAAACTGATCCAACCTGTTTGATCCACACTGATCTAAACTGATCTAAACTGATCCAAACTGTCTGATCTAAACTGATCCAAACTGATCCAGACTGTGATGAGATCCATGTTTTAATTATTTGTTTATTGACCTTTATTTATGTTCTGTTTGAGCCTGTCTCTGATGATGATGATGATGATGATGATGATGATGATGATGATGATGATGATGATGATGAAGACTCTGGCCCCAACAGGAATGTTCAGGCATGAAGTACAGTCCACCTGTGTTTAACCATGGTAGAAACACAGGAGGAATGCCAGATGGTTCTGTGGTAGCACCGTTAGCTTCTCACCGGTCAGAAGTGCAGAGTCTACAGAGAGAGCAGAGGGACAAACCTTGACCTTATTGACTAAAATCACATCACATTTCTCAAAGTGTCAAATAAAATGTGGGTCTTACCTTCTGTTTAGTGACCCATGGAGACTGTTGGGGTTGTTCAGACAGATGCTTTTAATGACCTGCACAGATAACATTGACACAGTGAATAAACTGTAGTGGACTCTTCTGCTCTGACTCGTTCTGTGGAGTTCTCAACTCAATGAAACTCAAATGTATAATAAACAACATATTACAGCATTTAAATTACTATTACAATATACATTTCTCACCTGACGTCACAAGGGCTTCGTAAGAAATGTCATAGTTCTTTTTGTCAGTGTTGCAACACACATTTAACCTTAATCAGTAATACACAGTAAATGTGCAGAAAACATGTGTAACCTGGACATTACACAGCTGCACAGATGTTAGCCGCTAACCGTTAGCCGCTAACCGTTAGCCGCTAACCGTTAGCTGCTAACGTTAGCCTCTAACCGTTAGCCACTAACCGTTAGCCACTAACCGTTAGCCACTAACCGTTAGCCACTAACCGTTAGCCACTAACCGTTAACCACTAACCGTTAGCCACTAACCGTTAGCCACTAACCGTTAGCCACTAACCGTTAGCCACTAACCGTTAGCCACTAACCGTTAGCCACTAACCGTTAGCCACTAACCGTTAGCCACTAACCGTTAGCCACTAACCGTTAGCCACTAACCGTTAGCCACTAACCGTTAGCCACTAACCGTTAGCCACTAACCGTTAGCCACTAACCGTTAGCCACTAACCGTTAGCCACTAACCGTTAGCCACTAACCGTTAGCCACTAACTGTTAGCCACTAACCGTTAGCCACTAACCGTTAGCCACTAACCGTTAGCCACTAACCGTTAGCCGCTAACCGTTAGCCACTAACCGTTAGCCACTAACTGTTAGCCACTAACCGTTAGCCACTAACCGTTAGCCACTAACTGTTAGCCACTAACCGTTAGCCACTAACCGTTAGCCACTAACCGTTAGCCACTAACCGTTAGCCACTAACCGTTAGCCACTAACCGTTAGCCACTAACCGTTAGCCACTAACCGTTAGCCACTAACCGTTAGCCACTAACCGTTAGCCACTAACCGTTAGCCACTAACCGTTAGCCACTAACCGTTAGCCACTAACCGTTAGCCTAACTAACCGTTAGCCACTAACCGTTAGCCACTAACCGTTAGCCACTAACGTTAGCCACTAACCGTTAGCCACTAACCGTTAGCCACTAACCGTTAGCCACTAACCGTTAGCCACTAACCGTTAGCCACTAACCGTTAGCCACTAACCGTTAGCCACTAACCGTTAGCCACTAACCGTTAGCCACTAACCGTTAGCCACTAACCGTTAGCCACTAACCGTTAGCCACTAACCGTTAGCCACTAACCGTTAGCCACTAACCGTTAGCCACTAACCGTTAGCCACTAACCGTTAGCCTAACCGTTAGCCACTAACCGTTAGCCACTAACCGTTAGCCACTAACCGTTAGCCACTAACCGTTAGCCACTAACCGTTAGCCACTAACCGTTAGCCACTAACCGTTAGCCACTAACCGTTAGCCACTAACCGTTAGCCACTAACCGTTAGCCACTAACCGTTAGCCCTAACCGTTAGCCACTAACCGTTAGCCACTAACCGTTAGCCACTAACCGTTAGCCACTAACCGTTAGCCACTAACCGTTAGCCACTAACCGTTAGCCACTAACCGTTAGCCACTAACCGTTAGCCACTAACCGTTAGCCACTAACCGTTAGCCACTAACCGTTAGCCACTAACCGTTAGCCACTAACCGTTAGCCCACTAACCGTTAGCCACTAACCGTTAGCCACTAACCGTTAGCCACTAACCGTTAGCCACTAACCGTTAGCCACTAACCGTTAGCCACTAACCGTTAGCCACTAACCGTTAGCCACTAACCGTTAGCCACTAACCGTTAGCCACTAACCGTTAGCCACTAACCGTTACCACTAACCGTTAGCCACTAACCGTTAGCCACTAACCGTTAGCCACTAACCGTTAGCCACTAACCGTTAGCCACTAACCGTTAGCCACTAACCGTTAGCCACTAACCGTTAGCCACTAACCGTTAGCCACTAACCGTTAGCCACTAACCGTTAGCCACTAACCGTTAGCCACTAACCGTTAGCCACTAACCGTTAGCCACTAACCGTTAGCCACTAACCGTTAGCCACTAACCGTTAGCCACTAACCGTTAGCCACTAACCGTTAGCCACTAACCGTTAGCCACTAACCGTTAGCCACTAACCGTTAGCCACTAACCGTTAGCCACTAACCGTTAGCCACTAACCGTTAGCCACTAACCGTTAGCCACTAACCGTTAGCCACTAACCGTTAGCCACTAACCGTTAGCCACTAACCGTTAGCCACTAACCGTTAGCCACTAACCGTTAGCCACTAACCGTTAGCCTCTAACCGTTAGCCACTAACCGTTAGCCACTAACCGTTAGCCACTAACCGTTAGCCACTAACCGTTAGCCACTGACCGTTAGCTTCTAACGTTAGCCACTAACTGTTAGCCACTAACCGTTAGCCACTAACTGTTAGCCACTAACCGTTAGCCACTAACCGTTAGCCACTAACCGTTAGCCACTAACCGTTAGCCACTAACCGTTAGCCACTAACCGTTAGCCACTAACCGTTAGCCACTAACCGTTAGCCACTAACTGTTAGCCACTAACCGTTAGCCACTAACCGTTAGCCACTAACTGTTAGCCACTAACTGTTAGCCACTAACCGTTAGCCACTAACCGTTAGCCACTAACCGTTAGCCACTAACCGTTAGCCACTAACCGTTACCACTAACCGTTACCTACGTCCACTAACCGTTAGCCACTAACCGTTAGCCACTAACCGTTAGCCACTAACCGTTAGCCACTAACCGTTAGCCACTAACCGTTAGCCACTAACCGTTAGCCACTAACCGTTAGCCACCGTTAACAACCGTTAGCCACTAACCGTTAGCCACTAACCGTTAGCCACTAACGTTAGCCACTAACCGTTAGCCACTAACCGTTAGCCACTAACCGTTAGCCACTAACCGTTAGCCACTAACCGTTAGCCACTAACCGTTAGCCACTAACCGTTAGCCACTAACCGTTAGCCACTAACCGTTAGCCACTAACCGTTAGCCACTAACCGTTAGCCACTAACCGTTAGCCACTAACCGTTAGCCACTAACCGTTAGCCACTAACCGTTAGCCACTAACCGTTAGCCACTAACCGTTAGCCACTAACCGTTAGCCACTAACCGTTATAGCCACTAACCGTTAGCCGCTAACCGTTAGCCACTAACTGTTAGCCACTAACCGTTAGCCACTAACCGTTAGCCACTAACCGTTAGCCACTAACCGTTAGCCGCTAACCGTTAGCCACTAACCGTTAGCCACTAACCGTTAGCCACTAACCGTTAGCCACTAACCGTTAGCCACTAACCGTTAGCCACTAACCGTTAGCCACTAACTGTTAGCCACTAACCGTTAGCCACTAACCGTTAGCCACTAACCGTTAGCCACTAACCGTTAGCCACTAACTGTTAGCCACTAACCGTTAGCCACTAACTGTTAGCCACTAACCGTTAGCCACTAACCGTTAGCCACTAACCGTTAGCCACTAACCGTTAGCCACTAACCGTTAGCCACTAACCGTTAGCCACTAACCGTTAGCCACTAACCGTTAGCCACTAACCGTTAGCCACTAACCGTTAGCCACTAACCGTTAGCCACTACCGTTAGCCACTAACCGTTAGCCACTAACCGTTAGCCACTAACCGTTAGCCACTAACCGTTACCACTAACCGTTAGCCACTAACCGTTAGCCACTAACCGTTAGCCACTAACCGTTAGCCACTAACCGTTAGCCACTAACCGTTAGCCACTAACCGTTAGCCACTAACCGTTAGCCACTAACCGTTAGCCTAACCGTTAGCCACTAACTGTTAGCCACTAACCGTTAGCCACTAACCGTTAGCCACTAACCGTTAGCCACTAACCGTTAGCCACTAACCGTTAGCCACTAACCGTTAGCCACTAACCGTTAGCCACTAACCGTTAGCCACTAACCGTTAGCCACTAACCGTTAGCCACTAACCGTTAGCCACTAACCGTTAGCCGCTAACCGTTAGCCACTAACCGTTAGCCACTAACCGTTAGCCACTAACCGTTAGCCACTAACCGTTAGCCACTAACCGTTAGCCACTAACCGTTAGCCACTAACCGTTAGCCACTAACCGTTAGCCACTAACCGTTAGCCACTAACTGTTAGCCACATACTAAGCTAGGTCCTCAGACAGAAAAACAGGGTTAAATTAAATATCTTTGACAGAGACTTTCCTAAAACATAGAAACACACACCAGCTGAATAACACACAACCATGAATGACCCGCTGAGCATTCCAAAGGGACACATGAGTAAAACCATATTTCTCTCACAGATTCACGGACATGTTTCCTCTGAGTTCTCCAGCAGCGAAAGGACCAGTGTTGCCAACTCCTCAGTAAGGAAAGTAGCTATTGGCTGTCCCAAAAGTCGCTAGAAGTCGCTAAATGACGTCATCGCCTAATTTGCATAATTTTCCATTTGCAAATAACTGTAACGGACGCTGTAGGAGAGAGGAATAAGGTCGTGGGAGAGACAAAAGTGAGTAAAAACACCCTAAATATGTTTAGAACTACAAATGTACAAAAATAATTTCAACATTAACAACATTTAATGATTTTAATGCTTTGTCTAGATCCACATTACACACATCAGTTTTGTCCTGTATTGTTAAATGTTATAACAGCAAATGTAATCAAAAGATTGTTATGTAGGGTGAAATTGCTAGCTCTACAACCAACCCTCCTCCTTTATCCGGGCTTGGGACCGGCAAAGTGACCCAAAAGACACACTCTGGCAGAGTTACTTAGGTTTATTTTTGTAAGTTTTTTTTTTTTTTCATAGTTTGGCATAACAAATGATTTAATGTGACCCACTACTGAGAGAAAACAGAGTCACGGACAGAGCTGCCGCGGATGGAGTGGGGGGTTGTGGGGGGTGGCGGTGGTAGGAGTGGCCGGGGAGCTTTGGATGTGTGGTGGTGGTGGAGCTGAAGTTCAGTCTGCAG